AGTCGCGTACAGGGATTTTGACAATTCCTAAGAACAAGATGTAACGGGAGCCTGCAAACGTATTTCCTTTCACTTGATTTCTTAAATTGTTTCTATTGATGTTTCATGGTGTGTTTTGCAAATATTTACGAAAAAGAATAACTCTACCGCAGAAGGCACTGTGTGTCCTATTGTCCTAAGATGCGATTAAACAGACAACCGTCCGTAACCTCACCGATATTGTTCTTTCGACTGGAGGCGATTCGACAGTCATTCATTGTTGATCGCCCGATAGGTGATATGAGTATTAGAGAGTATTATATAGTATGTCTACAATAGGCCAACGAGGTGAAAAAAAAATTGTTGACCCGTTGCTATGGGCACACGTCACGTCACACACGTCAGTACGAGTGCTGCCACCCAACGATGTAAATCGTAATTTCCCAGTGTTGGTAATTCAGTCTGTATGCGTATAACCAAAGCGACATAGCAAACCTAACCTCATTTTTATTAGAATCTAACCAAAATAATTGTTGCATTGAATTGTAGTGGTGTGGTAGTGGCAGTTTAGACCTCAGAGTAAGGAGCTTTATCTTCTCTAGGGGGGGGCATAGTGTAACCGTTTAGTGAAGGATTAGTTAAGTACTCAATGGTGTAACCCTTCTTCAACAAATTTTACTGAGAAAGTAAGTCATATGTCTTATTGTGTTCGGATCTCCCTCTGTATTGTTAAATACCAAAACAGATTTTTACCAGATTTACGTATTCCATTATTGTTATTAGGTATGGATGGAGATAATGACACACTAGTCATTAAAATCGAACCGAAACAAGAAGAAGAAATCGATTCCGTTCTTCAGGAACAGCACGTTTCCATAAACAACGAAGTTTTGGTGACAATAAAGGACGAAATTACCATTAGCACACCGTGTTCTCAATCTCTTTATAAAGAAGAAGAAGTACAGCAATACCCTGAGTTTCAGCGTCACCTTTTAACCCTGTGTGAAACGGTGTCTAAAGATTTTAAATGTGCTGATTGTGATTATGAGACCAATAATAAATGCAACTTGAAACGACATCTTCTAAAACATAAACGTTCTAAGGATCTCAAATGTTCTGATTGTGATTATGGAACAAATAATAAATACCTCTTCAAACAACATCTTTTAACACATAAAGTTTCCAAGGAGTTTAAATGTGGTGATTGTGATTATGAGACCAATGTTAAGGGTACTTTGAAACAACATCTTTTAATACATAAAGTTTCTAAGGATTTTAAATGTGCTATTTGCGATTATGGTACAAATATTAAACACAACTTCAAACAACATCTTTTAACACATAATGTTTCTAAGGATATTAAATGTCCCATTTGTGATTATGGGACAAATCATAAACACCTCTTCAAACAACATCTTTTAACACATAAAGTTTCTAAGGATTTTAAATGTGCTATTTGTGATTATGGGACAAATGATAAACACAACTTCAAAAAACATCTTTTAAAGCATAATGTTTTTAAGGATTTTAAATGTCCTGATTGTGATTATGAGACAAATGTTAAAAACTATTTCAAACGACACCTTTTAAAGCATAAAGTTTCTATGGATTTTAAATGTACTACTTGTGATTATGGGACAAATCGTAAACACTACTTCAATCAACATCTTTTAACACATAAAGCTTCTAAGGATTTTAAATGTACTGATTGTGATTATGAGACAAATATTAAGAAGTACTTCAAACGACACCTTTTAAAACATACACTTTCTAAGAAATTTAAATGTGTTACTTGTGATTATGGTACAAATCAAAGATACCTCTTCAACCAGCATGTTTTAAGACACAAAGTTTCTAAGGATTTAAAATGTGCTACTTGTGATTATGCGACAAATGATAAACACAACTTCAAAAAACATATTTTAAGACATAAGGTTCTGAAAGATCTTAAATGTGCCAATTGTGACTATGAAACAAATTATAAATCTGATCTTAGACGACACCTTTTAAAACATAGAGTTTCTAGGGATTTTAAATGTGGTCATTGTAACTATGAGACAAATAGGAAATTCTATCTTAAACAACACCTTCTAAACCATAAAGTTTCTAAGGATTTTAAATGTGCTACTTGTGGTTATGGTACAAATCATAAATCCCTCTTCAAGCAACATTTTTTATCACATAAAGATTCTAAGGATTTTAAATGTACTGATTGTGATTATGAGACAAATATTAAAAAGTACTTCAAACGACACCTTTTAATACATAAAGTGGCTAGCTAAGGATTTTAGATGTGCTCATTGTGATTATAGGACAAATGAAAACATCTTTTACAACATAGAGTTTCTAAGGACTTAAATGTGCTAATTGGGATTATGAAATAAATATAATAACTTTGACTTTGAGCAACACTTTCCGAGATACATTAGGCATTATCTGCAAATCACAGGTGTTGCTAAGCTTAGGGCATTTACGCTGAAAGGATCCTGGCACGGCTCACTGCAAATTAGCTACTATAATTTAGATATGTATTTTAGTACATAGATAAGTACATTAAAAATTGTTCCATTATATAAATATTTAACAAAATGCGTCATAAGTGTATCTAGATTACAATAAAATATAAAAATAAAATATACTTTTATTTGCGTTTCTATTTTAGATACATTTGTTTCAGTGTATCTAGATACAGATACTTATATTTTGTATCCAGATAACATATTGTGATATTGCGCTATCTGGCAATTTTAAATTTGAATTGGTCCCGCTTTTATGTATTTACTTTAAGGAGAAAACAGCAAGTTACGCCACTGTGAACACTCGCGCTCTTTGCAAAGACGAAGTTGGCGGGCCGGCGCCAGAGAAATATAAATTAAAAAAATTCAACTGTTTTTCTTTACACATTTGTTTTCTGAAATAAAAACAACTGAATGCTGTCTTATTATGGGAAATAAAATGTTTCATATAGAAAAATTGTGTAGGTATACTATATACATAGTAAGTAGGTACTATATATTCCATACATAATGGGCCGCACCCTGTATGTCAACTATGCCCAGTTGCCAAAGTTAAAATAAACCCAGAAAGAGCGTCTAAAAAAGCGACAGAGAGAACCTCGGTGTGACCCTACGGGGTCATTGGATTTGACCCATTTTCAATTGGCTTGTTATATGTGTTAACTGTGCAAAGTTTGAACCGAATCGGTCCAAGCGTTTGACAGTTATCGTGTTCACGGACAGACGGACACCATCGACTCCCCTATCGCTTTGCTCTGCCGCTTAATAAAACGAAAAGCACAGCATATAGGTATAGGGAATGTAATAATTGATCGATGTAGGAATTTTTTTCGACATTTCAAAGTGCAAAAAGACAAAAAGCAGGTTTCATTTGAAAAAACTTGTTAAGGATTGAGGTTATTAAAGTTGACCATTAGTTTTAAAACACCCTGTAGATGGGCGATCAAAATTTGAATCATTCTCATATAGCATCAAGTCAGTAGTATTGTTAATTTTGGAAGCCTTTTTTAAATTCAAGCCAACGCAGTGACAGGTACAGGGCCCTAAAGAAAAGCAGTCAAACGTCAAAAATGTACCTATCACACAATGTAGATTTCGAAAATGCAATAAAATACAGGGTGTTCTATTTGAAATACGATAGTTGCTATCCACATCCGCTAAAACCCGAAGTGAAACGATCATGATAATATTTATACAACGGAAATTTTTCTAAGTTACATGTTTTTGATTGAATTAGACTATCATCTTCCAACTTAGAAAAATTTCCGCTGTAGATTTTGCGTTTTTTGTAAATTTCTCAGCTGCTAAAAGGAATATCTAGATTTTTATTTCAGAATAGGTGGTTTTGAGGCAATCAAAAATTGTTATAAAGAATGACATTTTTGCGTAAAGTTAAAATTAAAAATTTTTTCCCTCTTGTTCAGTCCATCCGGGGACACACTGTATATCATGCGGAAGCACGAAGAATAAATGCGGCAACTCTTGTGGATGCCGGAAAGAAGGTACTTTGGTAAATAGGTCTTGGGGAAACATGCACAAACATTAGAGAAGAAGTAGTAGATGATAGACTCGAAGCATACGAAAATATAACGACCTTCTAACGATGATACCATTACCTAGAACAGGTCACCAACAATAGATGAGGAAGTAATTTATGACGAAGACGATTAAAATTCATATATTAAAAGACGTAAAATGAAAAGAAACCGTGGAGTAGACTCGGGGATAATACCTCAAAGATAAACAAAAAAAAATGGGAAAAAGAAACAATTTTTTACCAAGAACGGTTCTGAATCTTTATTTTTTGACTTAAAATTTACCAAAAATAGACTATACTGTACCATTATATTGAGATAAGTGACATATACGTATAGAACGCGAGATATGAGCGTTTAAAAAAAATCTGATTCAAAATGGCGAAAAAACGGTGAAGGGTGAGAGTGCGTAAACTCTGTTGAGATGAGACCCTTTCGACCGAGGGACAAAACAAAAATTGTACCCAAAATTCCTGGGCCCCGAACTAGATTTACCTACTTACTAGCCCAAGTTGCTAGTAAGCAAACATCCTTCAGCTAATTTTGTATCTGTAAAAAAACCTAATGATTTTGTTGACGTCACATTATTTTTTTAAACAAAACCTGTGAAAACATTAGCATTCAACACGCTCAACGCGTAACGTCGTGGGGCTGATTTTCAAACGACTATCATTAAATCCTACCCATACTACATTATGCAAATTCGCTTCTCAACATCTTCATCTTTCAATCTGGAATGCACGCCTAGTAGGTACACTTCTTCATCGGTATCCAAATATAAATTTTCTAGCGTTTAACGCTTCAAAGGATTCGCGATCTCTACCTACTTTTACACAAAAGTGCGCGGCTTTTAATTATCCTTCCTCCTCCACTAATCCAAAATACCAGCAGAATTAATAATCCGCGACGTACTTACACGATATCATATAAAAGTACATTAAGTGACGTCAAGAGTAATATTTGAAAAATATGTTATTATTATCACTTGATGCCGGTCACTGTCTTTGGCCTCCCTGATAGCGCCCACCGTGAAGAAAATACCTGTTGGTGACGTCACCAGGTGAAGTTAAGTGCAGTATACGGCAAACAACGTACGGACAACAAGCGAGAATGGTCGCAAAAACGCGAGTTAGAATTTGCAGTGAATAAAACATTATAAGTACCTAATAAAAATGAATGCTACCTAAGTGTTAACAATTGGTTTAAATTTGAAAGTGATTTTGGAGCGACGAAATGGACGAGGTACATAGCTAGATTACTAGTTAATTAAATAACGTCGGCACATAGCCATTTTTTTCCTAAACAATTGTATACATCAGAACGAATTAATGCAAAAAAGTGCGTGGGAATATAGTTTTTGTATAATTCCCAAAATATTGTTGCACTGGTCTTCAGAAACGAAAATTTCACTTCGGTACTGGTATTACCCAATAAATTCTAGTAATTATTTAATTAAGTAAAAGTGTTTGCACCCACTTCGTGCTTAAACGCAATTAATTAGTTCTTAATTTTGAAAATTTTTGATCTACACGTTTAAGTAACTTCTGTTTGCATCTGACCTCTACTGGTAACGGAAGTGAGCGATTATTTTAGTTTTTACAGTATTAAGTACTTACAGTGTTAATAGCACCCTTCACGCCTTTGCGTGCGTACTTTGTTACAGAAGGTGCGAAATGGGCGCGAGTAATAAATTGAAGATTTCACGCACATTAAAAAAAACCGCTGATTTTGCGAGAGAGATTAATGATTATACTGGATTATACTCTTTTCTTTCTATTATTAAAAAGAACACAAGGAATCTAGTAGGTCATCTCGTGTTTATAACCAAAATCCTTTGTCTATAATTTTTTGCCCCCGCCGGTCAAATTTCATTCGTTTTCTAAGAAGCTTCAATAGGTAATATATGTTTTCGTTGCAAAGCTGTTAGGCACAAGTACCTATACATGTTTTCCCAAAATCGTCATGAAACCTTAATTTTCATGCCCACTTTAGGCCAAGAAACTTAATGTGCTTTATACTGTAGTAATAATGTTTAATGGCACCTACCATCACTGAGTTCCATATGAAAATTGAAATTTTATATTAAAAAAGACGATTTCGAGAAAAGTGTAATTCAAAACTCGTCAGTAAAATCTCGAAAATTAAAGTCCTCGGTCCCGAAGGAGCCTCGAACTTCCATATTTTCTCGTCAGTAATTTGTCATTTTACTGACTTTTATGTAAATAACAATCCAGCTATTTAAGAGAAAAATTGGGTAATAAAAGGTACCAAAAGATTATTTTTTTTCAAAACAAATCAGTGGTCGGAAACAGGGCCGGATTTACCATGGGGCAAAGTGGGTCCGGGCCCATAGCGGCAAATTTTTAGGGACAACAAAAAAAAACAAATTTGGGAAATAATTTTACAGTAAGTACCACTATTGTGGAAAAATAACGTAACCTCTTAAGAAATTTAAGTTGGAAAGTTACGCACACTCTTACCAACTTAAAAGTAATCATGAAATATGGAGTAACATAACCTCACATTTCGACGAAATTATGTGAACTTTGTTTAAGATTGTGGAACATTTAGGGCTTCTCCCGCAATTTTTTTTGTTGAAAACGCTTAATTAAGGTGCCCTCTAGCACATTTTTATCAATTTCACGATCTCGTGCCTGGAGGGCTTAATAACGTCACGTAACCGTGAGATTTTTTTGCATTCTCAGAAACACGATTCAGTGGTTACATTTTGGTATATTGGCTTTCATTGTTTAAACTGTAAAATAAACTTGGAATACGTTAATTGAAATTAAAATCTTTTATTATTTTGGAAAACGGCTTCTGAATTTCACATTGTTTCACTATTATTACGTAAAACGTATATTCTTAAAAGTAAAATTAGATATAGCCCCATGATCACCTACTTGTTGATGTAATGATGCGGAAATATTAATAAAAATCGAGTAAATTTCTTTAAAAACTAAAGAGTTATTTGTTTGTAGTATTGTAGTTAAAACAGCAGATATGATATTATACTTTGTTTCAATACCACTTTATAATTCTCATAATTAATAGGTATAAAAAATGTTTTTACTATTAATTAAATCAATCTGAGCAAATTAGAAGATTTAAAATATTGATGCAATTCATTCAACGTCTATAAATAAACATGTATATCTCGTGATTACATCCAAATCTAATTAATTATTTAATTTTTTTTTTATTTGTAAGTACTCCAACACCCGGTACATTTTTCCATTCAAAAACAAATTTACACGCTTCCGGAGGCTACATAAAATTTTAACCCACACAAAAGAATGGTATCAATGAATTTAAATTACAACTTCACAGTTAATGAGAAAAGATCACGATTATCATTCATAAAAAATATACAAATCTGTTCACAGAATAATCTCCCGTAGGTCAATCTCTTTAGGAATTTACTTCAAGCATAATTTTTTTTATACAAAACCCCCAAAACAATCGACTCCTATTTTACACAACCAATTCAAATAACTTACTTTATCGATGAGTCGAACTCCAGTTGAGCGTTGATTTTCTCCCTTTGAAAGGTAGCCGAAATTCAAAAAAATTGGATAGTGGAACGTCTTGTACAATACAATTAGACCGATATTAATATCGCCTGGTAAATTGAACTGCTCGTTGAAAGTTTTAATTTTGAAGGGCGGTTAACTACTCCCACTACTCCAGATCAAGAACAAACTGATGGGGTTGAGGTTTCTCGACGTTTAATAGTTGAACTTTTGTTTATTTATTGGAGTAATTTACCAATGTTCCGCATTATGGAAATGTACAAAAACTACCCTTTAACTAATGGTTAGTCAGCAACAATGAGAATTTATTTAAACTTTTTACAGCTTACCGTTTTTTTTGAGAATCTAATATTACCTCGTATGTAAAAGAGTTTTCCGAGACTGGGTTTTTCTTGCGGGCGATTTTGTCACAAAAGAAAAAGGAACTTTCGAAGTGCAGTTATTCCAGGAGCTAATTTTCTTAAGGAAAATCTTTTGAAGTCGACCTGTTGTGGACAAGAATTTTTCTTACAGTAAGGTCCTAGTAGGCCAGTATTTCAACGGGGACAGTGAAGAATCGAAACTATATTAGGCGCTTTCTCCACAGTATAAACGGTTAACCGAATCATACTAGGAAAACATTAGATAATTAAATCTCCTCTCTCGCGAATACATAAATAAATTATTATTAAAATAATATAAAGCCAATTACTAACGGTACATATAAAACAATATCTTTTGGAGCAAGTTGGTGTGTCGCCTGACGATTTGCATTAATTTCATTAGAAAAGAGCAACATTAATTGCTGGAGCAGTTATTCTCATCTTTGACCCCTCCAATATAGGTTTTATTTTATATTTTATTTGTCATTATTTTTTAATGAGCGGGATTTCAGCCATGGCTGCTCTACCAACCCAAACCACTATACATTTACATCCACGTCTGAACCCGGATTCGAGTCGGAGACCCTCAGTACGGCATGAGATTGCACCCCAGAAGAAGAGACCTTCCATTACAATAATATCAAGGGTAGAACTTGCGTCACCCCCCTCCCCCTTAAATTTCAAAAGTTCATTTGGTTTAGTGGTCGTTACATGTACAAGCGTTTATTTTCCAAAACAGCATCTCGGGAAATAATTCATGGGGGGGGGGGGGTCCACCTAACACCTCTGACACACCTTCATGATGTACCTAGGCTACCTATAGCAAGAAATTTTAGGACTCACGCATGTCCGTAGTAAATAGTAGGCCAGGGCGAACAAAACACAAAAAATGGCCCATATGAATAAAAGGAAGCATATGCTTATACTTGCAAAATTCAAAGGAAATACTCGTAAGTGCCCCTTCACACTGGGCAGCTGTGCATTGCGTCCCGTCCCATGGCTAATCAGCGCTGCTAAGTCGCCCAGTGTGAGGGGGCACTTATACGAGTATTTACTTTGAATTTTTGAATTATTTTTATTCATATGGGCCAATAGGTGCCCTATTTTTCTTTTATTAAATAATGCTTTAACAATAATAGATACTAAAATCATTATTCTTATAGATCTCGGTGGTAATTCAGGATAGAAGCAATTTCACTGACAGCACATGGTGGTTACAACTTCTGGAACCCGATGGAGCGCCGCCAATACCTCTAGACAGTACCGAAGGTGGACTGTGGTCGGGGAATTTCGTGCCGCCGCCACCGAGACCCGTCTATTTAGAGGAAGGTGTCAGTACCGACGGCTTAACCACTTGCGACCTATGCTCTTGGGCTTGGAAAAACACCAGAAGTCTTGCAACCGACAATATAACGTTAGGTGAGTTACTTTAGTCTCATAAAAATTAAAATGTGAACTAATTCTTATAGAATTACAGGTGCCGCAACAAAAGTGGAATGGGTCGTTACGTTAGTCGTAGTTTCTTTAATATCTGCGGTTGTTGGAGCAGCTGTAATGGTTACAGTGTTGTATTGTCGAAGGTGCGTTATTTTGCGAAAGTAAATTCTAGATTTGCTAATGATTTTTGTTTCAGCAGAATTAAAAATACAGTCGCAAACGGTAAGTACAGGTTAACTATAGAGCGTTATGTTTATTTTTGTATTACCTACCAAAAACCATCCAATTTGGGATTATGTAATTCTTTAAAAATTGTCTTTAACTGAAGCAAGAACACAAACACCAAAAACCAACTTCTGAAACTTCACTTCTCTAATTGAAGTTCAATCTCGATTTAGACGACACTGATGGGATGGGTTCGTTGTAATTACTGCAGATGTGAAATTGGCTCTTTGATTATGGAAAAACTCACTCAAAGCACTCACTAACTTTATTCTAAAACGTTCAAATACGCTAAATTGCCAATCCCCAAAATAACAAACGGCTACCAAAAAGCAACGATTGACGTCCGCCAAAAAACAAGCCACGATTAATGTTCGCCTCTGCTATTTAAAACAAGTTCCCTTCCTTTTGAACTTTACGCCTCTCCTCTACTTTAATTTGCGCTTTCGATAAACTCACACCTGTGTTGCTTCGCCGATAATATGTGCTTATCTTGATGTTTGTTTAGCTTACGCAGCGATAAAACTTCTTATCGTAACGGCCAGATTTAAATGAGATAACATTAACAAAAACATTTCACGCAATCATTTCCAGATGTTCCCTATCCCTATTTGATTTAAAAGGAACGCAGACATAGTAGTTTTTGTTCAAAATTCTCATCTCTCGAGAGATACGATGTCCGCTAAATGGAGGCAAAGTTGTGTGTTTGGTACCGAATCTGATGCTGCTTGCTTTTTGGTGACTTTCTGTTTTGAAAACAAATGACACTTTATCATTGCAACTTTCACGATCCTACAAATGGGCATAATTAGGGATCCCCAGTTGGCGCTGGAATGTTGACTTGCCCCATACCTACAGTTATTGGCAACTCCTGGGAACTAATACAAACAGCGCCCTCTAACTTTCATGTCAGACATTATGCGCCACTTTCACATTTTTGTTGCATTCGTCTAGGCCTGGGTGGCACGAATGGGGCACACATCCAAAATCTAAATTATATAATGCAGGAAGAATCAAGCCCTTAGAGCAATTCTCCGCAATATTGCATCTTCCTCTGATATTCCATTTTCGATATATTCACACTCTCGTCTAGACGTTCCAACCGCCTTTTGAGGGAACCTTCTTCCCGCACTTCGTTTTCGAGTTACGTCTCATCCAGACGATTCATTTTGCTTTTCCTAGTACTCTCCTCCGACCTACCATTTTCGGGGCATTTACTCTTACAGCTACGATACTTATCGCCAATGGATATATCCTCCAGGCGACCCAATCGCTTTTTGTGAATGAGTGGGAATTATAACCAATCACGATACAAGGGGTAGAGAAAGCGGACTCTAGTTGGTAGAAATTAATTCCTTTTGTTGAGTTCATTCAGGTACTATAAAGGATAAAACCAATCCTCCTCCCTATTGGTAAGGGAGAAGATGGGTCCCTTTCGCCGAGGGCTTTAATTAGAATACCATTAATGATAAAACTAATTTTATAACACCTCGAAAAGGAGTCATGCGGAGTAAAGTGCTTTCTAAAAATCATTTCCTTTCCATGAAACCCATGAAGTACAGAAGGTGCCCCCCCCCCATCTTCACAAGTTTTACTTGGCACCTACTGATGCATGCATATGCAAATTTTGGGACAATTTGGTCGTCGAATGTAAAACTTATACACGTTTTACTTTTAGAAACAATTATCTACCTCAGGAAATAATTCAGACCCAGTCCCTCTAAGACAGCACAATTTAAAGTCTAAATGTATGCTACCTATTGCAAAAAAATTGTCCGGAAGGACAAACGGGCGGACAGTGTTTTTTAATGTAAAAAAATGCGCTAAAAATGAAATTTATCATGCACGCAAAGCTTGGTTCCGCGGATTTTGGTACAAAAACACATCAAACATATCTACGGTTCAATAGACCTAGACCTCAAATTTGTAATGGTACTAGGGGTCTATCAAGCCGACACTGAAAACGTTGACTTACCCTATACTTACCGTTGGCAACTCTGGGAAAAAACTACAAACAGAGCCACCTACCTTTCAAGTCGAAACGATGGACGTGGCTTCTATACCAGGCTATACCAGGGAAACCTTCTACGGGACAAAAACCCCGCCATAGGCCACATAAATACAATCACCTACAGCTATAAAATGCAAGAGAAAATACACGTAAATAAAACATCTCAAATTGTATGATGATAAAAATCAGATAATCAAATCAAATGCAATTAAACAAGTTCATAAAAACAAAATACACAAAATATCATAAATGCAGTGGAAAACCTGATAAATAAATTCAGTACAAAATCACATCAAAATACCTGTACGATCAATTGAGCTAACACAACTTGCTAAAACAATAAATTGCATGTACATAGGAAACATGTAAATGGTGTGGCTCTACTCCAGCCTTCAGTTAACATAAATTAATTTAACACGAAAAGTACATGTGAGAATGCCAATAGCAATAGTATTTGTATGAAAATCGATTATCGCTCAAGCAGAACATATTTTAAATAGAGGAAATTTTAATGAGAGAGCCCTTAAATATTTCGCATTGCTAAGATGCTAAGAACTGCAATCCGCACGATACGAGTAGGCAACAGATACAGCGAAAGATCGAACTGTATTAGGTACTTTCCTCACGGAATAGTTACGAATCAATCGAACAGAGCAACATCGCACTGATAATCAACTCCTCGTGAATACAGAAATAAATACCTAATAAAACAAAAACAAGGGTATAATCACCTGTATAGTATAACAAACACGATTCATCTAACGGTACTCAAAATAAAGGCATGGAGTACGCCGTGTTTAAAATCAGCAAAATGTAAATAATATCAAATTGTGGCAAGAAATTCAATGATTAATAGTTAGTACAAAAAAGAAGAAAATGGTTACTACCTGTAATTACACCTTCAAAACACAACAAACTAAAAAATCAAGAAGAAAAAGCCCAGGAAAGCGCGATGCCCTCCATCGACTCCGGCGCCATCTTCTCCGGTTCTGCCACGCTCTTTTTTCCCCTAGCTTCGTTATGAAAATCCCCAAATCTTCGACATCTGCGTAGAACGGTCGATTGGTTATTTTGTTTCGGATGTAAAGGTGTGTTGCCTAACCATAAGAGTGGATTATCAAATTGTATGTACCTAAAGAACATCAAATGAGCATGGCTTTATTCCGGCGTGGTCCACCATTAAAGTGTACATGAGAATGCTATTCAAGCCAAAGTAAACCGTCACACATACAAACCCGCATATTAGTCAGAAGTTAATTGGACCCCCCCCCCCCTGTATTATTGATTTTATATACGCACCGTCCGGCAGCGAGCACGAGATGAAAATGAAACATATACAGCGAACTGCATTAGCTTTTTTCGCCATAGAAATAAATGGTTAATCAAAACATACAGGGCAACATCATACTGATAATCAACTCACGCGATAATAGTGCGCATCCAAGCCAAGCAAGCCTAAACATGACTCATCTAACGGCGAAAATAAGGGAATGGCAGCACACGCCAATCAGACCTAAAGCAAAATTGAAATAGTTGTATAAATTAGGATATGAAATTTAAAAATGGATAGACTAGACCGTTATGGCACACATTCAATCACTATTAAACTGAATTCGCATTCTGAAATAGTTGTGGGGTCAATTTTAGCATGCGCGTGGACGCGTCCTTTAAGTTTACCATTATTTCCCTTTTCTGGTTCCAGTTTAGTAGTATTGCAACAACTATTCGTAATTTAATTTCGTGGGCCTGATTAATTTCTGCCTATCCAGCTTCCGATGAGTAATAAGGTATATTGTTTATATCTCCTCTCTCTTTTTTTTTCTATGTTTTATACTTTTTTTTTCTCTTGTGTGATATTTTGATATTTCTTACACTGCAGTTTATACTAAATTTTTATATTGTTCTGTTACTGGAAATATTTTCTGTTGAACAATAAATACAATTATTATTATTATCTCCTATACTTATGTGATTTTTGTTGCTCGTGTTGCTTTTCCTTTTTTCCGTGTTTCTTAAGTCTTTTTTCTAAATGTTGCTTTCCTGCATTCCATTTATTTTATTTAAATTTAAGTTCTTTTTTATTAATGTTAGCTCTTTTTGTTTTTTCAAGCTCTAATCTGAGATTTTTGTTTTGGTCACTACTTGCCTCAAATTCATCCCTTAATTTCTTCCCATATCCCAGATTGCTTTCACTATTTACTGTGTCTTGCTCTTATCTTATCATTGCTCCCTTTTATATTTACTTGGTCCGACTGCGTTTTTTATTGTACTTATTTTCTGACATTTCCATGACAACACTGTTCTCCATATCACCTATCTAGTTGTCTTTAAAAAATTGGAGGAGTTCATGGGTTTGATTGAGTAATGTACTGTAGTGTACTTAACCCCCAGGTTCTACGCTAACTTCACACTACAAGAACACGGAAATAAAATAAACCCGGCAACGTTTTAAAAAATGGCCACCCGAATGACTATTCCCTCTAAAACTAAACAAGTACCCGCTTAAATTTGAAAAGTGGCATGTGATAAAACATCTAAGGCAGGGCTTCCTTACATTAGTTGTAGACAACGCTTTGACCTGAAGCACAGTAGGGAAGGAATTTTAAATAAAACACTGAAATTGTGAGAAGTTTGTTTAATAATGATCTTAATTATTATGATTGTGAAAACCCGGAAATTTAGTTGATGTACATTAATATAAACAAAACAAACAAAGCCAAAAGGTGTCGTACTCTCGCAAGTCACTGCCAAGGATAAAAAGAGTACGACGTAAGAAAAACCTTGCAGTTTGATTAAAACAGTCCAAAAGTTAATTAACAAAATATTTTGTAAAAGTTTAAGCAGTAGTTAACAAAGATAGTAAATGCATATACACAAGGATGGTTACACTCAAGGTTAAAAGCAAGTTTTTGGGGACAATGGGTCAGGTAGAAGCAGGTACCAAGATTCTGAGAAAGGGTTAAAAGTACAGGATGTGACTCATCTTTGGTGCAATAAAGTCCTTTTGTTGAAAGCAAGATGGAAAACTACATGGCCTTGTAGGCAAATTTGACTAAAAACAAAATATGTGGAAATTATTGAATCGCCACTCATTTATCACACATAGATTCTAAACTGAAGAGCTTTGATTAGCGTAATCTCGCTCCTGCAAGATGGGTAGTCCGCCCCTGGTTTCGGGGTTTCGAACCTACAGTTGGATGTCGAAGACAGTGCACGGAATTAGGTGCCCTAACACATAAATATAGACTACAGTTTCTTTTTCCACCTTCCCGAGACTGCTTCATTCACGGAGAAAATTGTTAGTAACATACAACAAGTCAGTACATACATCAAACGAATCAGCAATTTCCACATAAGTATTAAAATAAAATGAAAACTTATATGAATGTAACTTCAAGGACAAGACCAAGTAATCAACATCAATAAACATAAATTAAGCAAACATTACACCAAAAATGTAAACAATTAAAAACAATAGCATAACGGTATCACACATATGATTGCATTGCGGTTAAACAAAGTAAATTTCAAAAACAGAGATTCAAACACACAACAAATATAAAATGCGGCATACAAAACACAAATACGATATAAAGAAATGCAAAAATTACTACCTGCATTAAATAACACAAAATAACAACAAACATTTATGGAGCGAAACGTTCACTACCTCCATTCAAGACCAGATGCCAAACGTAACTCCCGTTCGTGCTTTCTAGGTGGCGCAGGCAACTTTTTTCCCACCTAGAAATTGCATGGTTGCCAACTCTCAAAAATGTATGTATCGTCGTAAGCTGTATATACAGGGTGGAACCTTTCAGTACGTTTACTCATTTGCAGCATTCATTCAAATCTCTCAATTTCAGATGATGGCAGCGGAGTTCAAAGGCCCCCCATAGCAACACCAGACGACAAAGTGATATCACTTACACATTCAAATTTAAACAGCCAATCAAAAGGAATATGGTCTTGTATATTTAGAAACGTCACAAGTACAACACAATTAGACGCACCTCCGGCTTCATCCACCGAAAACCACTACACTCACATGGATGAAGCGTATAATTCGACAGACGAAGCGCTTTACGCCGAACTGGACCGATACAGCACCAACAGCCCTGCCTACCAAAATACAGGTTACACAGATCCGGACGTTCCGTCGTCCAGTGCACCGAGCAGCGCTTATTATTCCGATCTCTCTGTAAACACAGTGAACGATCGTACTTACGAAATTGTCGGATTGGCTACCACAACCGACTGGGAAATAAATGACCCACAACGGAAATCGGCGGTAAAACTTAGTTCTATAAGTGAAACCGTTACTGTTCCTTCAGATTATGTGTAAATTTGTTATTTGTTATAAAAATTGTTCTCTATAGCCTTAGGTGACCCTTACGGTGGTGTAATTAATGTGCCTGTATGAGTGTGATAGATAGCTTTATTATAAACATGGCATAAAATGTCATTTAAATACATCTGAAAAACACTAAAATATAATGAAAGTTTTATTATCCAGTCACAAAGAAATAAATATCTATACAAATTTATGTGACCAAACCACGACAAAATGAAATAATTCTTAACAAAAAAAAACGATAATAAGCACATATTTAGACCAAACATTAAAATTTCGGCCGAAACTATCAAAGTAACTTAAAAATGAACATTGAATATGAAGGTAAAACACGCTTTTTGATATTCCACAATATGCCATAGTAGGAAGTGAACGGATCCGAATATTGTGGAATATCGCGAGACGCTAAATGATGAAATAAATAGTTAAATCATAATGGCTTAAACCGAGTGACAACATTTTTAGCAACATCCACTTCTGCGTATGTTAGATTAGGTAACCGTAACAATAAAAAAAAACAAATAGAAATTCAGTCGATGGTAGATACCGCCGCCCGTTGATAAATGGTATTAACTGATGGTGCAGTAGATCCACGACTGATACCAACTCTTCACTTGTCCATGTCAGTCTCCGAATCCCTCGTCGGATTTACCAGGTGGCGTGTCTAGGTATATTTTTAATGCACGTTCTCTTCTGGGTGAATGTGTTTTCGTAGAAAATTTTCCTAACCTAATATTTTCTCTTTGGTGTATTTCCTTTCTTTCTTCGGGTGTTAATTCTTTTAACGGCTCTCTACTATCCCTGCACAAAAAATATATTCAAAACTGCAGTACTAAAATGTATGTAGGTATACATTAAATACTTAGACAAAAAGAATATCAAAACACAGTAAAAGACAAGCTATTATACAAGGAAAGAAGAAGCAAATGAAATGTGGAAAATATAAAATAGTAGTGAGAAACTAAAACAATAAGTAACATCAAATAATACTAGAAGAGAAATAAGTATACAGGGTCGCTATTAAGGATGGAATGAAAGTTCTCATGGTGAAACCGTTTTGAGATATAGACATGAAAATTCAAATGCTTCATTATGAAATTATTGCACATATTTTGAGGTTAAAGCATTTTTTTGGCATGGTTTTTCAGTGCGACCGCCATTTTGAATTTTTTTAAATGGCAACATAGCAACATATGATACGTAATTAGGAAGATTAATTCTTTGTCTTTCTTACAACCTTAAACATGTATGGTGTTAAATTAGGAAATAATACAGAAAAACTAGCAAAACGATACCATACACTTGGCTAGTTAATTACTGCACTTTAAATTAACGGAACATTAAAAATTAACAAACAAGTAATGAGCAGGTGTTTAATAAGTGACAAAAACAAAGTACGTATGGTTCGTTTCCTTACAACTATTGTATTACGTGAGAAATAAATCTGAAATTTGTGAAATATGGACAATCTGACAGTTTTTCTCCATTATCTTCTAATCTAACGCCATTCAAGATTAAGTAAGATTAGTAAGAGAAAAAAAATAAGCTTTAATGACGGATCACATGGCCTATATTGCCATTTAAAAAAATTTTTTAACCTCAAAATGTGAACGTACAGTGTAAGTGTACCGGGTGACCCAATCAGACTGTTCCTTGGCCATATCTCGAGAACTGTTCGTCATAAGACTTACGGGTAAAAAAAATTATTGGGTAAATCGGTCATGAAGAATCGCTGGAAAATATTTTCAAGTTCTAAAAATGACCACCAGAGGGCGTAACCGTCATTTTCAATTTTAAAATTACATTTTCTTTAAATTTCGCATAATAAACTAAACATTCTTTTTTCACATTTTTAAAGAGAACCAGTTTATCTATCATTTCAAAACTTAGTTATTTCAAAAAAAAGAGGGTGTGGGGCGTTCAATTGCAATAACCTGCTTTAACTTCTTATCCGTTTGACTGATTTTAACAAATTTGGTATAGTTGAAAAGAGCATTCCTTGGGCAATGACAATCAACCAAAATATAGTTAATTTAGTTGAATTCTTCTCCGCCAGGGGGCTAGTTTTGACACTGCCTCAAAATCCTAAAAAAATCAAAAGGAATGATTTGACTTTTTTTATGGAAAAGTAGCCAAATAACATCCAAAGAGGGCAGTTAAAACCGTTTTTAAAATCTCGTTCCTAACCTCAAATATTGGGAAAATGAATTAACTAATTAATTAATAAAAATGCTTAAATTGTATCTTAAACTGACTTTTTACATATTTCCCGTATTTGTCGATGGCGCGAAAGAAAAGTACCCTACACTTTTAGGTAGGCCTTGGAAAATTAAACAAATGAAACACGATGCATTATAAAATAATAACAGCCGTAATTTGTAATCTTTTCTAAAATGCAGATTTCTAACCAAGAAGCATTTCATATGCTGGCGATATATTTTGAGTATTTTCAAAATGTGACCATCGCTGCCCGCATCTTCTATTTGCGTTATCCGAATCGACCATGAACCATCGCCGCCAGATTCAGAACCATCCATTTCTGACCGTTTACAACTAGGAAATTGAAAACGAAGTGTGACATCTCAAAGGTTTTTTCGACCCTAGTATGACACAACCCATGTAGTGCCATCTGAATGTGAATTCCACTACAAGTATCCAATTTTAGACTATACCATTTATTATTTTTTGCGTATCAGAGGCACTTTGTGTTTTTTCGAAAATTCTTTGGGTACTTCAGAAGTTTTTTGGGGGAATTGCCTGGGCTAAAACTTCGTCCACTTAAAACCACAGTAGAAATTACATTAACTGAAGATCAGAGGAAGGGGGGGGGGGGCGTTTCGGATAACCAATCATATTTCAGCTTATTTTAAAATTATAAGTGAAACGAGCACAGGAAATGTAAAAATAAAGCCTTCAAAATGGAATTTCTTATACATAGATTAGTATGTACAGAGTGATTTACATTCATGGTCTGAGATACAGGGTGGATTACATGGGGCCAAAGTGTTCATTTTTGTGACTAAAAAAACGCCTTTAAAATTTTTGAAAAATCTTTAGATATCACCAAAACACTGAAATGTCAAATTTCGTTTTTTTCCCTAGTTTGAAGGTCGGAAATGGACGGTTCCCATTAGCAGTTCAAATGAATTTTTTTGGTCCTCTACCTCATTCCCTAAAAATCCAATATGGCGCCCACAAGAAGTAAGATAGTAGTGACCTGTAGCTTCTACATCTAGTGCAGGGGTCGGCAACCTGCAGCTCTTTTGATATAAAGTTGCGGCTCTCTGTATTTATCTAAAGAAATTAGTTCATTTGTTCGAAATTCGCCTTTTTAATTAATTTTATTTGTTTACGAAATCAAAAGTACACTTGCAGCAAATAATTATTTAATTTGTGACACTTGTTGACTTTCTGGTATTCTTTAGTTTTTTTATTATAGCAGCCTACTCCGATGTATAAACACATAATTAATTAATGATTAGGTACTTTTGCGAAAAATATTGAATAACATAAAAACTGCGGGGTTTAAACACAGGGCACCCCTTATAAACATTGAAGAGAACACAAAAGACAATCGAATAGCGAAACAAAATAGTGATAGTTCCATTTGAAAAAGAATAGTTATAGCACTTTGAACAAATGACATTGAAACAAGTAAAAATATGCAGGATGTTCTATTTAAAAAGATCAGTTATTTATTAACATCGTAAAAATGGGACACCCTGTACCTACATTCACAAATAATTTCTGTAGATCCGCAACCACCAATATTTTTTTCCAGGTATCAGCTATGTAAGAAAAACTGACACACTGTTGCAGGACCCTGTATATAGCCAAACACTATAATATTGAATCAAAAATTTTTTGTGCCTCTTTAAAAACTGGGAAATTTTGTAAATTGTAATTTTTGGCTCTTCCGTTTCAATAGGTTGCCGACCGCTGATCTAGTGTGTTATGAAAATTCTGACAACAGATTCAGAACCGTCCATTTAAGCTAGGGAAATGAAAACGAAATATGACAAGATTTTTCAAACGCATTTTTTTTAGTCACAAAAATGGGGCAACCCCATTTAACCTACAGTGTATCTATCACTGTTATGGAAATCCCAATTCCCAATGGTGAATCTCGAATTTGAACCACCCTGTACACTCGGTAAAATACAATGATTATTTTTTACAAGTACAATACTTTTAATTGAATCTTTAAAAAAACCTAAGATTTCTTTTGATTTTCGGTCACTGAGGGATTTGGTTACTAGTTTCAGTTAATAGTTTCTACTATACAGGGTGTTCCTAAATAAGTTGTAAATATGGAAGTGGTTAATTCTTTCTTCATATAAACATAGGTCCGCAAACGCTTCGTTACTCTTCTACAGGGTGTTAAAATTGAAACATTTTTAAAGTTTTTCCTTTATATCTCCTGTTGAATTTTATTTAAATTCTAACCTATAACATTTGCATCATAAACAAAACAGGCAATGTATTACCTACATTTGAGAGTATTTATTGCTTTAAAGGTAGGTATAATTCAGCTAGCGTATCAATTTTGATGGGATATTAGCTCTTTACCTGAGCACAATGTTTCCAAATTTTTCTTGTCATAAATTTACCCAAATTAAGTTTTGGATATAGCAATACTCCATTATTTATTAACCGAAGTATACATAATAGGCGTTCATTTAGGGAAAAAAAAGGTATACAACAAGTTAATGACTTAAGGAGCAGCTACAACGTCAATGACAGAAGGAGGATTATAGGAAGAGTATTAAGCAAAAGAAAAATGCAATTTCGAAGCGTCAATACTTACTTATATAGAAATACACTCCCATCTTGATACATACTATACGCCGCCCAATCTTCGGAATCGCTATTATTCAAAATCCATCCTGCATCATTATGGATATCGAGAACATTAATATCACAAGGAAAAGATCCCTTCAAATTGGCAACTTCGACGTATCTCTTGGGTATATCGAATTCTTTAGAGAGGGTGTTTTTCAATTCGTCTAACGTTGGCACGTCCAAAACAACCTCGTGAAAAGGCGTTAACATTAGTGTCGAGGGACACCACCTTTTCACGAAAAGACATATTTGGTTGCTATTAGTAACGGTCTCACCCTCGCCTAAATCTTGTAGGAATATCTCAAAATTGCTGGTTAAGTTTATATCGTCTCCGAATTTCTGATCATCAAGATACACCTTACACGGATTCTTCCAATTCTTCACGCGCAATCGGCTTTTATTGAACGCGATGTCGAGCATGTGCTGTTTCTTGGCCGCAAATAAAATCTCTTTCTTCACCTGGCCTACGGTTTGCCCTTTCGCGATGACCCATTCGAACAGAAACGTAAAAGATTCGCTATTTTCGGGTGTTAAATGAAAAATTTTACCCAAGTGTTCGTCTTTCCTTAAAACGCGCCCTAATTTAATAGCTATCTTATCGCCGTCCTTAACGCGACCCAACGAGTCTGTCAGACGGGACCATTCGATGTCGTGAGGATATTGTCTGTACACTTTAAAGTACTCCATGGACACACCGACAAACGGTTCTAAATGCTTCTTCAGTTTGGCCAAATTCATTCTTTTATCAACTTGTACTCTACACAGTCGAGTCTGCTCCATGTCGGAAAACGAATCCGAATTCAGGGTAGGCAATATGGTACCTTTGAAGAAATAGTTTGGGACTCGGGAAGGTCGCGAGCTATCCTGCACCTCTGCCCAATTCATTTCTTCTGAGGAAAGTCTAAATACTTCATGGTTGTAAGTATCCTCGGCCGGATCCGATGGGGACGCCATGTGTTGATCTACGGGCGAATTTGAGTGACTGGAAAGCAACGCCAAACATTCTCCCGGCGCATCTCCCACAAGCGTACGATCGCTATCACTCAAACTACTATCCTCACTATTACTATGATCGCCAAACGCCTCACACACGGGTTGCGGTGACGTTCGTAATCGATACGTTGAACTAAATTCATTTTTGTCTAAATTTTGATTTAAATCCAACGGCGGTATGGACAAAGACTCCAACGAAACTAAAAAAACAAAGATCAGAACGGGCAAACAACTCGCGAGAAATTACCTGTCTCAGTATCCGGATACGTGACATAAATGGTGACGATATGGACGTAACGATCGATGATTTTATTTAATTTCGAGATTACAAACGGTTTATCCAGATCTTCATCTAAAGCATTCGACACATATAACTTATAATCGTTACAACTCGGATCGAACCTCATCATTGCATTATCGTCTTCTAGGTAGTGAGGTTCGTTGCAGTACATTTCTTGAACCAACTGAAATTAATTTGTGACATAAAAATTTAAAAAATCAAAACTTTCAGGCATGAAGGAACAGGGTAAGCATCTTTTTCACTTGCTTGTAGGGTTATGAAATAAAAAATTGACCCTTAAAGCTACAACTAGGATATTTTGAAGCTCTTTCTTGAACGAACTGAAATTAATTGATATAAAAATTAAAAAATCAAAACTTTCGAGCAGTAAGGAGCAGGGTAGGAATCTTTTTTACTTGCTAGTCTGGTGACGAAATCAAAAATTGCCCCTTAACCTAGAACTAAGATATTTTTAAGCTCTTTCTTGAACCAAATCAAATAAACTTTTAATATCAAAATTAAAAAATCAAAACTTTCAAGCATTAAGGAACAGGGTAGGAATCTTTTTTTAATTGCTAGTCTGGTGACGAAATCAAAAAATGGCCCTTAAACCTAGAACCAAGATATTTTTAAGCTCTTTCTTGAACCAACTGAAATACTTTTAATATCAAAATTAAAAAATCAAAACTTTCGAGCTTTAAGGAACAGGGTAGGAATCTTTTTTACTTGCTAGTCTGGTGACGAAATCAGAAATTGCCCCTTAACCAAGAACTAAGATATTTTTAAGCTCTTTCTTGAACCAACTGAAATAAACTTTTAATATCAAAATTAAAAAATCAAAACTTTCGAGCATTAAGGAACAGGGTGGGAATCTTTTTTACTTGCTAGTCTGGCAACGAAATCAAAAATTGCCCCTTAACCTAGAACTAAGATATTTTTAAGTTCTTTCTTGAACCAACTGAAATAAACATTTAATATCAAAATTAAAAAATCAAAACTCTCGAGCATTAAGGAACAGGGTAGGAACCTTTTTTTTAATTGCTATTCTGGTGACGAAATAAAAAGTTGCCCCTTAACCTAGAACTAAGACATTTCTAATTTTCTAATTTCTAATTTTTGAACCAACTGAAATAAACTTTTAATATCAAAATTAAAAAATCAAAACTTTCGAGCATTAAGGAACAGGGTGGGAATCTTTTTTACTTGCTAGTCTGGCAACGAAATCAAAAATTGCCCCTTAACCTAGAACTAAGATATTTTTAAGTTCTTTCTTGAACCAACTGAAATAAACATTTAATATCAAAATTAAAAAATCAAAACTCTCGAGCATTAAGGAACAGGGTAGGAACCTTTTTTTTAATTGCTATTCTGGTGACGAAATAAAAAGTTGCCCCTTAACCTAGAACTAAGACATTTCTAATTTTCTAATTTCTAATTTTTGAACCAACTGAAATAAACTTTTAATATCAAAATTAAAAAATCAAAACTTTCGAGCATTAAGGAACAGGGTAGGAATCTTTTTTACTTGCTAGTCTGGCGACGAAATCAAAAATTGCCCCTTAACCGAGAACTAAGATATTTTTAAGCTCTTTCTTGAACCAACTGAAATAAACTTTTAATATCAAAATTAAAAAATCAAAACTCTCGAGCACGAACGAACAGGGTAAGCATCTTTTTTACTTGCTAGTCAAGGTACGAAATGAAAAATGCCCCTTAACCTAAAATTAAGATATTTTGAAGCTCTTTCTTAAACCAACTGAAATTAATTTTTGATATAAAAATTCAAATTAAAAATCAAAACTTTCGGGCATCGAGGAGCAGGGTAAGAATCTTATTTACTTGCTTGTCTGGTGACAAAATGAAAAAATACCAGTTAACCTAGAACTAAGATATTTTGAACCTCTTTCTTGAACTAACTGAAATTAATTTTTAATGTAAAAATTAAAAAATCAAAATTTTCGGAAATCAAGAAACAGAGTAGGAATCTTTTTTAGTTGAAAGTCCGGTTATGAAATGAAAAATTGCGCCGTAGCCTAGAACAACGATATTTTGAAGCTCTTTCTTGAATCAACTTCAAAATTAATTCTTAATATCAAAATTAAAAAATCAATTATACAGGACAATTCAAATTCGAGGGTCATCATGGAGATCTCGAGAGCTTGAGATAGATAGCTAGTTTAAATTTGGCAAAGTTGCGTATTTTGAAGCTTAACAAAATGCAGTTTTGAAACTTAAAAAATTCAGACTACGTTTGGAGATATCCGGAAAAAGCAGAAACTTTGCAAATTTTTTTTATTTTTTACTGAAATTATTTGTCAAATTTAAACTACCTATCTATCTCTTACAGTTCCCGAGATCCCCATGGTGGCCTTCGAATTAGAATCACCCTGTATATTATTATTATTAAAAACTTTCGGGCATGAAGGAACAGGGTAAGCATCTTTTTTACTTGCTGGTCTGGTTGCGAAATGAAAAATTGCTGCTTAACCAACCACTAAGACATTTTGAAGCTCTTTCTTGAACCAACTGAAATTGACTGAATTGTGCAGAGGTCTATTTAGATGTTTAACGTTTTTGATTAAAAACAAGGAAAAATTCACAGAAAATAACATTAAACTGTTATACGAATTTTCAACAAATTACCAACTGAAATTAAACAAATAAAATTCAGTAAGCCCTTCATTAAAAAAGTAAAAACACTTTTAATAAAGTTAGAACCCTATCACTTAAAACAGTATTTTAATGTTGTTTTAGAATCAGATATAACACCTTTTCGAATCCATTTTTCTTTATGTTTATGTGCACGTCTTGCATATGATGTCATATGTAAATATTATCAAAAATATCAACATTTTTACATAATTTTAAAAAAATCAAAACTTTCAGGTATGAAGGAACAGGAATCTTTTTTTACTTGCTAGTCCGTTTCGAAAAAAAAATGCTCCTTAATCTAGAACTAGGATATATTGAAGCTCGTTCTTGAATCAACTGAAATTAATTATCGATATAAAAATGAAAATTAAAAAATCAAAACTTTGGGCACAGATCTACACATACACAGATTGCTAACCTTATGCATTTTTTGGGAAACAAATTTAGGTATACTTAAAAGCGCCCTCTATTGCGGAGCAGTATAAACATGTACCCTTTAAAACTGTAATATGACGCTTATGGATTTATGCGTTAGATGTCGCTGAAACAAAATTAAAGTGCTAAAGTTTGCACAATTCGAATTCCTTAATATTATTATATTATTATTACAGTGGTATGATATGATAGGAGGTACGTTGAGCCATAATTGTTTAATTTAGCACTGGAGCTACTCATTCGTCGTAAGGGAGTTATTAACAGCGGGTCCCTGTGGTCACAGATACACAGGGCAGGTCCTTAAAGAACCGTGAAGGTTTTTTGAAGTTGGCGGAAACTATTTGCGGCTTTAAAGGTCTTGACAGATTGCTAACCGCAAAGGCATACTTACAAACTATGTATATCTCTGCCATCATTAACGTTACACTCTTTACCACGCCGATAAGATATAAGATAGGGAGGTTATTTTCGAAAAGTTGATAGTTTTCGAGTTGTAAGCACAAAACTGCTAAAAAAATATCTTATTCAACTTTTTTTGTATTGTTTTCAATGTTGCGTCATGAAATTTTGTTAGCAAACCTCAGATTCGGATTCAGCACCCCAAAAAACATATAGAATCAAATAAATCAAAACTACCCCACAACTTGCCTGGTAAAATACAATTAAACTGAATTATATGCACACTTTACCGCTTTAAATTTTTTGCAGCGACATCTAATGCATAAATACATAAGCGTCATATTACAGTTTTAAACGGTACATGTTTATACTGCTTCGCAATAGAGGGCGCTTTTAAGTATACCTAAATTTGTTTCCCAAAAAATGCATAAGGTTAGCAATCTGTGTATGTGTAGATCTGTGCTTTGGGTCATGAAGGAACAAGGTAGGAATCTTTTTTTACTTGCTAGTCTGGTGACGATATCAAAAATTGCCCCTTAACCTAAAACTATGGTATTTATAAGCTCTTTCTTGAACCAATTGAAATTAATGTTTAATATCAAAATTAAAAAATCAAAAATTTCGAGCATGAAGGAGCAGGATAAGAATCTTTTTACTTGCTAGCCTGGTGACGAAATCAAAAATGGCCCCTTAACCTAGAACTATGATATTTTGAAGCTCTTTCTTGAAACAACTGCAAATAATTAATAATAAAATTAAAAAATCAAAACTTACTGACATAAAGGAACAGGGTAGGAATCTTTTTACTTGGTAGTCCGGTGACGAAATCAAAAACTGACCCTTAACATCGAACTAAAATATTTTGAAGTTATTTCTTGAACCAAATGAAATTAATTTTTAATATCAAAGTTAAAAAATCAAAACTTACGGACATAAAGGAAAAGGGTAGGAATCTTTTTTTTTACTTGCTAGTCTGGTGACGAAATCAAAAATTTCCCCGTAGCCTAGAACTAAGATATTTTGAAGCTCTTTCTTGAACCAACTGAAATTAATTTTTTATATAAAAATTAAAATTAAAAAATCAAAACTTTCAGGCTTGAAGGAACAGGGTAGGAATCTTTGTACTTGCTAGTCCGGGGACGAAATCAAAAATTTCCCTGTAGCCTAGAACTAAAATATTTTGAAGTTATTTCTTGAACCGAATGAAATTAATATTTAATATCAAAATTAAAAAATCAAAACTTTCAGGCATGAAGGGACAGGGTAAGCATCTTTTTTACTTGCTAGTCCGGTTATCTAATGAAAAATTGCTAAATGCAGCTGGAAGAAGAACCACCAACTCCCTTTTAGGTGAGAAGAAAAATACGTACCTTAATTGTGTCTATGTCCATATTAAACATTTTTGCTAATCGATGTTTGACTTCTAAAACAGTTTCGCCTGGATTAACGTGAAAATTCACGGGGCCTTCCACCTCCTCAGTTTCTATATTAATAAGGCAAACCTTCATATTAACTCCACCAGACTTGAACACTTGAAATTCAGTTCCTATCGAAAGAAAACTATTAAAGTAGGAAATCCCTCGGGCGACGTTGACATACCGGGTTGTTTAATTTCAAGTAACCAGTCAACATGATAAATACTAACATTATAGGTAATATCACAGAACTTTAGGTTTTCACCTTCAAAACTGCAATCAATATACTCTTGATGTTTATTGTATATAACCAAACGACAATCCTCCACGGCCACTCCTTCTAGTTTGAAACGATGATGAGCATCCGCGACTGCTTCGGACAGGTAACTTTCATTAAAAACGAACAGCTTCGTATCGAGCAACATGTGCTGCGTTGGATGGTAACAATACACTTTTAATTTAAACATATCACTCTCCCGCTCCCTCGTGGCACGATCGTTCTCCTCCTTCTCTCTCATTTGCTGAAGTAGATTTTTAATGTGCAAAGGAAACTCGTCGACCGCCATCACGTGGCAATTTCGCTGCTTATCGATCTGCCTGTACATCAACATATACGCATTCGTACTAGAACTGTAAACACTAGAGTAGTAACCGCGCGTCGGGCCACCGCCGTATGTCTTATGTATATCGTCCTCCGTAATTCTACTCACTGTTTGGTCATTGAAACAAAGCCATTGGTTCTTTTGAAAGTCTTTGATGTAGGCGTAATAATGACCGCCGGTCGCGCTACCCGAGTGTATCATGATACTAAATAACTCGTACATGTAGGGGCCTTTGGCTTCTTCTCTTCTATTCTTCTCATTCTCGTGGTGATTACCAGAGCTCATGTCGATACCTACAAAATGAGCTTAATCAATTATCGAGGCACAAAGATTCAAAATCGATACCAACTCCAAATCTACAATTCTTTTCGCAAATGTAACACAACACAAAACTAGACCTAACCATTTGGGAAAAAGAGATGGTTCAATTTTCGGCCATTATCTCCCATTACAATGTTCACCACAGACCAGGACCAAATTTGGGCCCATACCTTTTGACTAGTGGCCCAAGAACAACAGAAGATTTAATAGATAATCATATAATAAACAACCTTCATTTGTTTAATTTTCCAAGGCCTACCTAAAAGTGTAGGGTCCTTTTCCAAACAATCTTTCGCGCCATCGACAATTACCGGAAATACGTCAAATAAGATACAATTTAAGCATTTTTATTAATTAATCAATTAATCTCATTTTACCCAATATTTGAGGTTAGGAACGAGATTTTGAAAAACGGTTTTTACAGGCTTCTTTGGATGTTATTTGGCTCCATTTTTATAAAGAAAAAGTCATATGTCATTCCATTTGATTTTTGATTTTTTTTAGAATTTTGGGTCATGGTGTCAAAACTAGCCCCCCTGGCGGAGAAACAGTCAACTAAATAAACTATATTATATACTATATATAGTTGATTCTTATTGTCCAAGGAATGCTCTTTTCAACCATACCAAATTTGTTAAAATCGGTCAAACGGTTAAGAAGTTAAAGCAGGTTATTGCAAAAACAATTGAACGCCCCACACCATCTTTGTTTTTTAAATAACAGAGTTTTTGTTTTTATGAAAATGATAAACAAACTGGTTCTCTTTAAAAATGCGAAAAAAGAATGTTTATTATGCGAAATTTAAAGAAAATGCAATTTTAAAATTTAAGATGGCAGTTACGCCCTCTGTAACAGATTCACATTCTCCAAAAAAAAGTGCTCATAGAAAGTGCCGACGGGAACCGCCCTTTTCCGACGGTTGAAAATGGGGAAGTATTGAAAATGAAAACAAAATTTGACATGAATAGTTTATTTTTAAATAAGCAGTAAAGACTGTCCAAAAGGATTAACCAAATCCAAAGACCTTGAATCGCCCCCTTAAGTCAGTTCCGCAAAGGTGAGTGACGTCACTGGACAACACCTGATAAATAAAATTACACAGCGGCATATGGCGGGAAATTTAAACACAATGTATCTTACCGTAACAAAACCTAATCAATAAATTGGGCAAAATTTATATCAACACTGCGGAATATGGGCATTTTATTCCTGTGCATAATCAAGAGCTCGAGTATTAGTTTCGAGAAATTGTAGTCAGTTTGTTTAGATTCGCGATTCATACGAACTGTTCTTGCACCAAATTTTGCTTTCACCACGAGGAGGCGGTCCAAAAAGTCAATTGTACTATCAAAGCGATTTGTGAAGCGGCATTTTCCAAGTAGAGATGGGCTGAATTTGACACCAGAAGAGAAAATATTACCCATGTCAATAACTTATTTTAAATTTGTATAACGTAGTGGTCGGTTATTTTTAAGGATTTGCATATTGTTCAAAGTAATTTTAATATTCCTAAAGGAATCAACCTATAAGAATTATTTGCATAGAACATATTTGGTATTGTTATTTATTAACAAGAATCGAATCCAAGCAAGGGATTTTGATTATTTTGCTTCATTGTTTTGAATTTAGCATTTAATAAATCAGTGATACCATTCCTTTGGTTGGAAATTTACCATACCAAACGGGACAGTGAATAGTACTGTATATTTTTGCTCTGTAATTTAAATTTAAACGAAATAAGATTCGGTTCTGAAGAGTAAATCGGACATTCATTCGCATTCAAGAGAGACGCATTATGCAGGCAAGGCGATGTACACGTAAATTTTTTTAAGTGGCGTCTAATTAGTTATATTTAGTGGAAAAAGTATTAAATACTGTTCCAAGAGTGCTTTTCCATACACATCAATCAACGAATAGAAACAATTTTTGGTCAACCAACCAGTTTAGAAGAGGTATTTACGTTGACCTACTTCCACGAGGATCGCCCCATTACATGGAAAACTTTTGTTGCTAACACGCTGATGAAGCATTTGCCATTCAAATTGAAGATTGCGACAGTATGTAAGATTAGGAGGCCTTTGTCGTCATTTCTACCTTTCCATAATTATGTTGGAAACCAGGATACTTTATCTGCATTTTCTTGTGACGTCACGGTTACATCGGCTGGTTTGAGATCAGGTACCTCTTGCATTCCACATATTTTAAATAAAATGAATTTTGTTGGCGTTTCTCCGAACAATTGTTTTTATAAGACTTTAGTCCGGTCAAAATAGGCACAAAAATAGGGATCAAATAACAAAAACTCCGACAGAGTGCCAAAAGTCCCCATAGATCCCATGTGTGTTAAGTTATTCAAGGTCAAAGGTCACAATTTTCAGTTTTTCCGATTTTGCTCGAAAACGGAAAGTTTTATGAAATATATAGCTCAGACAAATATTGTAAATCATAAAATTATCTACAAAAATGGTACTCGTACTTTTTTTCCTATCTTGTCTCCCTCCAAAATCGGTTTCTGCTCATCAACACTTGTATCGAGTATACTATCAGTTCAGACATGGTTGGGTAACAATCAACTGAATCCCGAAGACTGGTGTTGGAAATTAACAGATAATACTCTGGAACCCATTCAAATTATACTCCCACCTGCCCCAAAAAGCTTCTAGACATTATTTTTTGTAATTACGAAAAAGGTTGTAGTGCTAAATGTGGCTGTAGAAGAGTAGGGTTGTTGTGTTCAATCATCATGTAGTAAATACAGCATTTTCCCATAACATTCCGTCATTACAGATCGTGGAGTAGGCCTACCGAGGAAACCACGTTAAAAAAACCAAGTGCCACTACCTCACAGGTGGTGTGGAAATGCCTGCATATCGTGTATAACATAACTCCTTCAACTTTAAGAATGGCGATATCTTAGGAATGTGATTCTTAAGAAAATAACTGCGCCCCCCTACGCTGCGCCACTGGTTAAACTTAATAACACATTTTTAAAAACAAAAGAAGGTTCAAAATAAACTATAATTATGACGAATACGTAATTACAACAGTTGTTCAAAATGTCCGCCGTCTGCTAGTAAACAAGCTTAAAAACGTTGAAAAAAAAAGTGCCGGTCTGATCAAAACCTGGTAGAGAAACTTTTTATTCAGTTTTCGTTGTATAACACCATCCCACAGTCCGCGTGCGCGAATTTCGAAACACCCTGTATGTTTGATAGAGGTTGCCATTTTTGAGAAAAATCCAAAAAACCGAAAATTTGGCCCTTTTACCATTGAATCCCTTTTTTAGCACACATGGGATCTATGGGGACTTTTGTCATTTTATTTCTACCAGTGCATCCAAGGTCTCGACCAAAATTATAATGCAATTTATCATTAGAATATTCGATCAAATTGTGTATTGATTTAAGATAAGATTTATTTCAGTTAGGGAAATTACATGGAATTATTTATATTGGTTACATTGTAACCCATAACGTTTGCATCATAAATAAAGCAGACAATGTGACAGAATTGGTTGATTTAAAGATATAATTCAGGTAACGTATCGATTTTGATCTTGAGAGGATATTTAAATTTTGCGCATTATTTGACGTACCAATGGGGAAAATACACACCTTCATCATCATCCTGGCAGTTATCATCCAGTCCGTTGACGGTAGAAGACACTTCGTTATACTGGCAGCTCTCATCGTCCAAAGCGGAACCCGAATCCGTCGTGCTGCAATCATCACATTTAACGATGGTCTCCTCGATCGTCTCGTGCTCGATTACATAGTCAGCCGTCGGAACGAAAGAATTCAAATTAAGAATTTCCGGGAATACCACTCTGAAAGCGAACAATTTGCGTCACCTTCGTAAACAAACCGATACTCACTTGTCGTTCAGTTTAATTCGATGCATGGACGAATAGTCGAAATCAAACCGTTTCAAGTGGAGTGTGAGCAAATACGGGAATTTAATAAATTTAAGCCCTTTATGCGCATCACACTTTTTATTACACTTCTCACAATGATACTGATTATTGCCATCTAACGTTTCAGGTTGGACGAAGGCCCTTAACGCCTCTTCCACACTGTTATAGGCCACGTTACTACCAAAAGGCCTGACCGGAAGGGGGATATCCAGGAACGTGTCCTCCCTCGATTTTTCGGTACTGCACTCTAGACACTTGACGTAATCCAACATTTTCCCTTCGTAAAGATCATTAATGAGATTGGCCTGTTCGGTATCCTTGAATTTCTGCTCGAGAGCGTCGAACATCACTCGGCACAGTTCCTGAATGTCATGCTGTTGCCACGCCTCGCTTAAATCCCATCCGAAACTTTTCGTCAGTTCCGTAGTTTCCACTGCAGATTTCGTAGACGTCTACAATATTAGAATGACATTAGCAACACAGGTATTCAAAACAAAATTCGTGGTGATTTAAGATAATTCAGCCGGTTTAACCGGGTTGGTAGATTTTGCTATGGTTACAATTACTGCGACAATTGTTTCTATGGTGATTTCCGCCAACACCCTAAATCCCCATTATTAACATAAATCATATCTGAACAAGAGGATGAATTTTTGGCGAAATTTGGAGATCTCCCAATCTCTCCAATAAAATTGTGTATTTTATTGCGCATTATCATTAATATTTTCATGAAAATGATGTTTTCAATGGAAAAATCTGTAATATTTAAAAAAGGAACAATATTTTTTGTGACAGGTAAGTCGTAGAGACAACCAAACAAAAATTTCAATTTGGCTCAAAGGACCAATTTCAGATGTCGTCATACAGCCATGGTCAAATTTTTTTAGGAACTTGTCTGTATAACTGGACGGAACGCAGACACACAGCTTTGGCTTCAGTGACTGCTCCTCCTTGTCCTGAATTGTGATTTTCAAGACTTCCTTTACATTTTTCTTTCCTTGTTCACCCATAATGAATTTTCAACTCTTGGAACTTTATCCAAAAATGATCACACATAAAGAGTCTCTCCAGCCAGTTCCTAAATAAGACTTTTTCATTATTAAGTTGGCTACAGGGATCCTCTAAGAAGTGAAAACCGTTCGCAGTAACACCCTGTACCTAAGTCCTCTCTTTACATTAGTTGAAATATGACCTTTGCCCAAACATAACATTACTGAGTGTAAGTGTTTGGAATAGTAGTCCAGTCATATTAGGATATTATCTTAGAAATAATTCCCTAAAATGGGTTACTACCATCAAAGTCGGACGGATTTTGGGTTATAGTGTCAAAACTAGCCCCCTGGCGGAGAAGGATTCAACTAAATTAACTATATTTTGATTCTTGTTGCCGAAGGAATGCTCTTTTCAACCATACCAAAATTGTTAAAATCGGTCAAACCGTTAAGAAGTTAAAGCAGGTTATTGCAAAAACAATTGAACGCCCCACACCATCTTTGTTTTTGAAATAACTGAGTTTTTGTTTTTACGAAAATGATAGATAAACTGGTTCTCTTGAAAAATGTGAAAACAGAATGTTTAGTTTATTATGCGAAATTTAAGGAAAATGCAATTTTAAAACTTAAGATGGCAGTTACGCCCTCTGGTGGTCATTTTTAGAACTTGAAAATATTTTCCAGCGATTCTTCATAACCGATTTACCCAATCATTTTTTTACCCCTAAGTCATACGACGAACGGTTCCCGAGATATGGCCGAGGAACAGTCTTATTGGGTCACCCAGTACATACGGACGGAAAAAAATTTTATTCTTTAAAAGTTGTTTAAAATGATCTAAAACGTCTACATTTGATGAAATTTGGACATGTCCAAAAAACGGCTATCGCGCTAGGAAGCTAAAAATCAACACCCGCGCATGCGGCCATCTTGAAAAATGGCGGCTTATTTTCATTTTTTTACTATATTTCATTAAACGGAAATACAAAAATAATTTTAAAATTAAAGAACATAAAATACATAATACGATCTAAATACAAAAGGCCTTATTTTATGACTAAAAAGCTCATATAAATGTAGACCCGAAAACGCTTCGCTACCGATCTACGGGGTGTTCTAATTTCATTGAACACTAAAAGTTAAACCTAAATTTTGGTGTAGTCGAGTTTTGGTAAAAAAGGAAGGTTATACACTGCCTTTTTTTAAGGCCCGAAAAAAAAATTGTCTCAGATCGACCCGGAAAAAAAAGTTTCTTATAGAATGTGGCCTGTAGAATCCATAATTTCAAACAGTTCCAAGATTGGGCTACTAGTTCAAAAGTTACAGCCCTTTGAATTTTTTTTCGAAATTGGTTTCTAGTCTAGAATTTTTGATTGAGAAGTCTGATCGAAAAAGTACGAATTGTTTTGGATTCTACGCACCAAAATTAATAAGAAAAAATGTTTTCCCGAGAAATTTTGGTGCAGTCGATTTTTGGTAAAAAAGGAAGGTTATACACTGCCTTTTTTGAGCCCCGAAAAAAAATTGTCTCAAATCGACCCGGAAAAAAAATTTTCTTATAGAATGTGGCCTGTAGAATCCATAATTTCAAACAGTTCCAAGATTGGGCTACTAGTTCAAAAGTTACAACCCTTTGAATTTTTTTTCGAAATTGGTTTCTAGTCTATAACTTTTGATTGAGAAGTCTGATCGAAAAAGTACGAATTGATTTGGATTCTACGCACCCAAATTAATAAGAAAAAGTGCTTTCCCGAGAAATTTTGGTGTAGTCGATTTTTGGTAAAAAAGGAAGGTTATACACTGCCTTTTTTTGAGCCCCGAAAAAAAAATTGTCTCAGAACGACCCGGAAAAAAATTTTCTTATAGAATGTGGCCTGTAGAATCCATAATTTCAAACAGTTCCAAGATTGGGCTACTAGTTCAAAAGTTACAGCCCTTTGAATTTTTTTTCGAATTTGGTTTCTAGTCTATAACTTTGGATTGAGAAGTCTGATCGAAAAAGTACGAATTGTTTTGGATTCTACGCACCAAAATTAATAAGAAAAAGTGTTTTCCCCAGAAATTTTGGTGTAGTCGATTTTTGGTAAAAAAAAGGAAGGTTATACACTGCCTTTTTTTGAGGCCCGAAAAAAAAATTGTCTCGGATCGACCCGGAAAAAAAATTTTCTTATAGAATGGGGCCTGTAGAATCCATATAATTTATAAACATACGCAAACACAAGATACAACTTCAAAACTGTCAAGACTAATAAAAACAAAGAGTTTAATTGTCAAGATTTTCCTTGGCTCAGGTGCCAGAGCTATACGCTACCGAATGCAAAAAGGATGAACTAAATAACTTGAACACTGTAGAAGCAGTTAAGGCCTCGGACAGACAGACGGACAGAGAAAATGGCTGCAATAACGCACCCAACTTCTTTGGAAAATGCGCTAAAAAATTCAGGAATTCAGGATTCAAGAAAACATGAAATCTAGCATGCCGTGTGCTGTCAGGATGTGCGGTGTTTGTTATGTTACAAAGAAAAACTACATTTGTTCAATGTTCCGTTTTGAAGATTTACTTTTGCGTGATACGATCTCCCCCAGTAACGCAACAGACACCGCGCATCCTGACAGCACACGGCATGCTCTAGCGTTTCATAAGTTTTCTAAATATTGAATCAAGAATTTTTTGTATATCAACCATATACATATTTTTTGTTGGGAGCGATACGGGCAGTTTCAATGTGCAATTGGATAGATCGTAATGTCACACATAAAATTATATTTGACAAATTTTTTGTATCTCGCCCAATAAAAGAGATATGAGCCGACCCTCAACGCACTGTATAATGTTGTACAAACGATATTTTGGCCTTAGCACCAGCAGTAATAATGGAGCACTCTGTATGAGGTATAATTTCAATTTTTAAGTGCAAATCTGGTGGTTTATTTACGAATAAACACAAAGTTGGTTTATTTTACTTGAAATTGTATACGTGTTTATTTTTTTTTCACTTTTATAGTGTTTAGAAATGCATAATTTTTGTTTAAACTTTATCGCTTTACAATTGTTCAATTTAGATAAGGTGTTAGATCTAAGACACATCTGGTCAAATTTGCGCGTTATATTTGGTCGTTGCGATAAAGAATGTTACTGTCGACCGAAATTTAATTAATGCACGTGTTCTTTCCTTCCTGATTACAGAATGCAGGTGTTCTTCATGTTCAACCGGAAATCGACTCTTGTTTTTCGAATGCAATTCGTATGTTTTTTAAGATATTCGAAAAGAACAATCAATCTCCTGTACGAGAACATAAAATAAGCATCATTCGGTTGATATACAGAAAAATGGATAAATTCAGGATTCAAAAAAACTTATGAAATCTAGCGCGCCGTGTGCTGTCAGGATGCGCGAACTTGTTTTCTAAGTTTTCTAACGAGTGAATTTCTCCATTTTTTGTGTATCAACCACATGCATATTTTATGTTGTCAGGAGTGATACAGCAAGTTTCAATATGAGAACGGGTCGATTGTAATGTCACATCGTATTTCGCGAAATAAGAGATATTGAGATGACGCTCTTACCTTGAACGCACTGTATAATGTTGTGCAGACAATATTTTGTCTTTAGCACCAAGAGTCATAATGGGGCACTCTGTATGTGTTATAATTTCTAATTCTAAGTGTAAATTTGATGGGTTTTTTACAAATAAACAATAAATTGGTTTATTTTACTTGTATTTGTATCTCAGTGTTCCTTTTAGAAATGTTTGTAAATGCATAATTCTTGTTTAAATTTTATCGGTTGGTAACTGTTCAATTTAGACAAGGTTAGAAGTAACACAAATATGGTCAAATAAATTTACGTGTTGTATAAACGTTTTCTTTGGACGTCGCGATAAGAGTGTTACTGTCAGTCGAAATTTAATTAACGCACGTGTTCTTTCCTTCTTTTGCTGATAACAGAATGCAACAAACTTGGGTATTTTCTGTTTGTACTGACAAAAAAAAAATAATAATTGGCTTCACACCATAGAACAGACGAAAGTCTTGTTTTGAAACTGAGCATGGGCGCCATTTTTAGTACAAAAAATAATGCAATCGCATTTGAACCGCAAACTGCAAACGTCAGCGAATGTCGCTGATTAATCATGCACTTTGCTGTTGAAATGCAGGTTTTTTTTACCTGTAAATTTAAAAATAACCGCTGCAGTTGAAAGGGTATAGATTTAGCTTCGACATGCCCATCGAACTCCCACTTGTACAGCGCGTTGCGAAATTCGGGCGTCATGTACAAAGCTTGCAGTAAACTGTTAAGGTAGCAAGTCATGGCTTGATTGACGAGGCCGACATAATTGAACGACTCCCGAGCCGATCGAAAATTAAGGATGTACGGATTGTAATCTGGATAGTCGATACTCATAAGCGCAGGCGGATGTTCGGTGGAGCTGCTCGGTAACTCTCCGGTCGTCGGACTGGCGGACGCGCCGAGCAACAAGTCGTCGTCCGTCGCATCGTTTACGACCAAAGTCATATTTTTCTGGTTCTTTAACGCGCTGATGATCAAACAGTTTCGGACGCCTTCCTCGAATACCACACCAATTTCACCTAACGTTTTATCCTTGTATTGATTTAAAATGATCTAGGAGGGAAAAATTGAACTGGCATCATTCTAACCTCGCATATATATATACTTACGGTATCTCCCGTTTTGTGGTTTTGAATGATCAATTCGAATTTGTCGGGCGAGTAGTGAAAGTCGTAGCCGACGTCGGTAAATACGGACGCGACAGTTTTCGAGGGAGTCAACTTTATGATCGACTGCCTTTTTGGTCCTTCGCCTATTGTATCTTTAATCGACGCCTCGATAGCACGTTCGACGATGGGCGGTATGCCCTCTTGTAGTGACTTTATGTTCATCCTTCTGGGTTTTGGTTGGCCGTATTCTAGTTCAACATCACTGTAAAGCCAAACCATTTCTCCTAGTAAATGGAAGAAAAAAAAAAGGAAGCTATCACACACAAGCAAACACAAACAGTAGCAGCAACGACTTGTTTAAAGGTGTAGTGCTTGACCCCAGACCCATTCGTATGAACTGGGGTTCAACTCATGAAAATCATATTGCACAGTATTGTTCAACAATTTGAAAAGTTTCGTGTGTGGGATTCGGCAAGTACATAAGTAAAAAATGGGTGGGAGAGAGGGATTCTTAGCCAAACTTTCGAGGCGTAACTGCGTAAGTAAGCGCGACAATTTCTAGAAATCGGAATGGACGGGGTTAATTCTATATACTATTATGGCAAAATAGTTTTTCTGACCTGGAGAAGTTATTCGACATACGAGGCCGGTACTTCCGGAATATGTAGCCGTTAGGGGTGCGCACATTTCGAATTTTTTTGTCCCGCGCGACCGTCCGGGGAGGGAGCAAAGTACATTTCGGAGGTCGTTTTTAGGTAAAATTGCGAGTTTAAAAATTCGTAGAAGGCGAAAGAGGGGAGTCCGTGCTGTGTACGAACTGCGCTGAAGTAGCGCGACGCGCATCACGTGTCGGCAAAATTAGAGGGCCGTAGAAGCCTAAAAAAGGAGGAGGGGGGGGGGGGGAATCGACAAAATTCCAAAGCGCTCTTCTCAAAAAATTAAAAATAAATTGTATTTTTATTTATTATTATTATTATTTATTTTCACCATGTGTGATATATCGTTGTAATGAGAAAAAAAGACGTAATCTCAAAATGTGAAAATTCCCCATAAGAAACTAAAGCTGCCACGTGTTTCTCCGTCATCTTGAAAGTTATTAAAAACAGGAAGCCATATTTGAAATCTCCATTAAAAAGTGTTCGAATAATGTCTTAATTATAAATGTCTACTACGATTAGTTTATCATAAAAAAAAGAAAAGAGAAAATCAGAAATTTTCGTTTTTTTGCGACATCTTCAAAACTATTGAAGATATTTCAAATTTCTTTTCAGATTCTTATTCAGTACGAAAGTTGGCAACTTTGCCGCCATTTAACCAACTTTCTACCTCTCAAGATAAGTGAGATCCCCATAGTGGCACTTGAAAAATGGACACCGTGTATAACTGATCAGATATTTTTGTTTTATAGCATTTATGTCAAATTGACAAACAATATGTTTGAATGAGTGGTCTAGGCCGCTCTTTAACCGCAAGGGTAAATCAAGTGATCATTTAACTACACGGGTAGCTAAAGTGAAACATATGATTGTGCATTCTAATGACATATGTCGTTCTTATTTCAAATAGGACGCGAAGCACGGTGTAAAATGACGTGACAATGCCGTTTTTATGGAAACGACCACATGAGCAGAACCTAAGCTTGCTATTTTTGATTTAAATTTAATTTAGAATTGTTAGAAGCTTTACAATGATTTATCTCGTGAAAATTAAATCACGCAATGTTTAAAATATCCCTTTATCGTCCTATATAATAAATGACTATTACAGCATGCATTTTTGCTAAAAAATCTGTGTTTCAAACACTGTGTGGCGCCAAATACGAGTGGTATGGTATCGTACATTGTCACAATGTGTTATCTCATTAATTCCGACAAAATATAAAACATGTGTGGTCGTAGGTTGCGTTGCGTGCGCCACGTACGTCTCAATGTACGCTTCGGAATGCAAAAGATCCCTCTTTCATACCGCTGTCAAATTACGAGTATATAAAATTCGGGAAGGGAAACCCGGATTTTCCAGTTACCACAACAAGCGCGTGCAAAACTGCTAAAAATACAACAATTTCTCAGTTCCCCGATCTGAGACTTGGCTCAAACAACATACTAATTGAGCGCGTTTCATACGACATCAAGCACAGTCCAATCAAGCGGCGTTCGCTGCACCTCTAATTACCCAGCTGCAATTACGTCGAGTTAAAATTCCTAAATTCAGAAGTCCAATTATTTATATTATGCTGTGTTATCGTCGTACGCTTCGGCGTCCTTAAGCGAGTAACACAACCCACGGCCGAAGTGTACGAAAATAATGCAGCATTACGACTGACCCAAAGTTTAGAAGAAATAATTGGACTTCTGAATTTAGGAATTTTAACTCGGCCAATTAAGTAAGCGTAATTACCGGTAGCTAATTAGAGATGATGCAGCAGACGTCGCTTGGTTGGAGTGTGCTTGGCGCACGAACTTATAAATTAAGATGGACTGTAAATGCTGAATTGACAAATGACACCTACATGGGGGCAGCCATGATGTGCACTCACTTGGCGCGAAATTCAAATCAACTAATAAACAAGCATTAACCTCACGTGTTCCAAATAAATTACTGTGACACATGTCATTTTCCAAGGCTGCAATAGTCTCAAAACTTGAGCACTAGGAAAATTCCCCTAGAAAATAACTAAAACGGCGCACATCATGGCCGCGCCCATGCTTGGGCCATTTCTACCTCTATGCAACTGTTTGATCAGCAGTCCATCTTAATTTATAAGTTCGTGGTGTACATGCTCGTCTCATTTCCATTTATTAACTGCATATACCTACTGACCAATCGTTCATATTTCCAGTAAAATCGCAGGACAAATAAGAAAGTTACTTCGGCGCATGCGCATAAACTTTTTTTTACTGTAGCGCATTCAACTCTGTAATTGTATTAAAGAGTCTGTTATGGCGATCATTTTTTTGGACTGTAAGGGCGTTTTACTTGTGGAATACATGACAAAATCGACCAAGACGACAAAACTCATTGCCAACAACCTGCTACAATTACAAGGTCCACAATACTCGTCATGTTCAAGTCATTATCGCAAACCGTGGCCTCACACAATTACCGCATTAACCTTACAGTCCAGATTTACCACCATACAACTTCTTTTTGTTCCAACATTTAAAAAAATGCCTCAGAGATCGCAAATTTGCCTCAGATGATGACCTGAAGTGCGGACTAAACGTATAGGTAGACAAATTTTAAAAAAAGTTCACGTAGTTTATCCAGCGGATAAAAAAAGTTATAGAAGTGCTTACACAAATACGTTATTAACTAGAATTATCTCAATGATATGAATAGAAAATATAAATGAAGATTACTAAACTAAGCAAAAAATTTTAATAAAAAAAATTCAAAAAATTTAGAATATCGCAAAAAATTAGAAAATTAAAGAAGAGAAAAATAAAGATAATTTTATAAAAAAAGAACCAAAACAAGAAACTGAACTTGGAGTTCAAAAATTCTTCAAAAAATTAGAAAAAAAACTCCCCAGAAGTGGATGGAAGATTTTTTTATCTTTATGTTTGAGTGGGCGGGGTTTCAGCCAAGGCTGCTCTGCCAACCCAAGCCACTATACATTTACAAATATCCAAGCTGGAACCCGGATTCGAACCAGGGACTCTTAACACAGCAGTCGAGCTTTCACTTTATGGTGAGAAGTCCAAGACAAAAAAACCTCATGAACGAAGTGAATCAGAAGCAGAGAGAACTCAGACTTGATTATTCCTTAAATAAACTTTTCATATCGGTAATTAAATGCACATACAGAATTTCTAGGCTCTTTTCGAAAAAGTAAGATTACAATTTGTGTATTTCTTCTCTAAAACAGTCCTGTGGGTGGTATTTCACCCCTCACTTACAAAACTTCCACACCCAAACATGAATTTGAACATTACCACCTTAGATTAAGCTTGTCGCCTCATCAAAATTACCCAAAAACCGAAATTTCCCACCTTCTAGCAATTTGCTATTAAATTTGTATCCTTTTTGATGGGTCAAACTCGAACGAATGTGGTACTAAAAAATACTAAATCAGACAGGTACCTATTGCAACACTGTGCAAGACACTACACCCTTAAAAAATCGCTTATCTCTCATGCTTAATAAAATATCCCCATTTATTCTGTTTTAAAACTAAGTATGATAACTGATAACAGTTGTATTTATGTGTAAAATCAGAAGTGGAGATATTCCATTTGAAAATAGCCAGAAGCCTACATGCGGATGCTTTCCACCACTAAACCTGCACCGAAGATGCATTCAAAAAGCAGTAAAATAAACAAAACACATTAACATAACAAATTCTTAAAAAGGAAATGTGGTAAAAGTTTATTTGTAGGTACAAAATGTAAACAAAATACAGTGCAGTGCTTAGAAAGCGTGAGATGGAACCTACACAAGTAACAACAAGGACTTTAACTCTCTCTCAACAAAAATTTAAGTTTTGGCTATCGTTCAAAAATTGGTTTAACGTAACCGACAGCACACTTTGAACAATTCAGAGAGTATTAGATGAGCACAGCTGGACGAAAGCCAAAATTAAATTTAGAAAGACATGTGTGGGGAAATATATTGCGATTAGGGCTAAAGGACTTATAAAATTAATAGATTACTAATCGTAAACCCACAAGAAGTACTTACCAAAAGTATTACTAACCGAAATTTCTTTAAAGTGCACGCGAAGAACCTAAAATAAAATAAATCACAATCAGCATAAAGTTGTACCGCTTAAGGCCGATTTTACAGAGACAGGGTTACAAAAAAAATTTTCAACATTTAATGACAAGAGTGATAAAAGGTGCAACTACGTCACAATTACAAACATGCAGTGCTTTTATCTATGCAAGGTGAATGTTGTGGTATTTGTTTCGCAATTACCCAGCGTTTATTTAATTTGTTATCGATCGCAAATACTCACCGAAATTAATGTAACATGTGCTAAAATTCACAAAACGCCATTTTTACATCCTTAACTCCACCATTACTTCACCGAAAGTGGCCCTTCTCGTTCAAGTTGATCGCGTGTGGCAACACTGCTCGTGGCGGGAAATAACGTAACGAGCAAATCCCAATAGAAGATTAAAAAAGTCACGTATTAAATTTTGCTCTTAGTGCAAAAAAATAAGGAAAAGTTAAAATAATATATTTGGAAAATTATGTCATTGTCAGTGGCGTAGCAATCCTGGTCGCATTACCATAAGCGTGCGCCAAGCATCGTGTCACAAATGTAGTATAACGATCGGGCGTTTACGAATATTTATTATTTAATAAATCCGTCATTCCTATTTGTTCAATTTAAAGGTAATGAGCGATTCAAAAAATGTAGCGTAATAGTTGACGGTGATAAAGTGTTTATCGTGAACGAACCTCAATACACTTGTCAGGCAGACCTGTCAATTTATTTTTTTAAATATTGTCAGTCGATTAATTTTTGACGTTTTCGTCAAACGTTTTGCTTAGAAGTATGTCGAGTCAATTTGCCACGTAACAACATCCCGAGTGCGTAGACAAAATGGCTGAACCGATTGGAACCAAATTTGGTACACATATTCTCAGTTTTAGACATAAAAGGGCAGAATCGCGCATGCGCAGGTGGTATCTGTGATAGCCACAGCAAATTTATCCCTTTAGCTGTAAGATGTTGCCTATACCAGAGACTCTAATCAGTCTCTAGCTTAAATCGTAGGTGTATGTAATCCATATATTGATTCCTGAAGGTTTCTTGATGGTTCTTCCTTGCTAGCATAGTACATAAAGCAGGTATATGCATAATGCACATCTCCTCTTTTTCTGCTTTGGATAAAAAAAACTGTCGAAGATCATGGCAAAAGTACATTTTGTTTTTAGGGAATGATTGAAATTATGTGGGACATGCAAATGATTGGAGTTTAGTGTCAAACATTTTGTAAGTGGAGGTGTGCCCTGTGTTCTAGAGTAGTGTAGAGTACAGCCGCAGAGAAAAGGTAAGGAAAGTAGAACGAAATTGTTTATTGATAACATCAATATATATTACGAAATAAAAAATAGTATTCCTAATTTTGGTATACAATTCAGGTGAATCTATTAAGTATATATAAAAATGTAAACTTTCTTAATTAGACTGCAGCAATGAGATAAAGATCACATTGTTCGTTATTAAAAAAAAAACATTAATTAGCTTTTTCCGCCATGGAAAATCTAACACTCAATTCAGTGTTACCGTGAAAATCAATATTCGATCGAACACTGTCGTCCAATTCTCGAAGGGAAGAACATATTTTAACTTTTGGCGTGGATCGATACCGTGATGGCGTCAATCTTGTACTGCGTCTCACTGGTGTCGCTCTATACTTTTTTTCATTGTCGGCATTAGCTAAATTTCTACAAGAAAAGAAGTGTCAACTTCAAATAATTGCAAGGGTGCTTACCTTTTCATGGTTCTCTCTTGAATCGCAAACTGTATAATGCTCGATTTGAACACGTTCCTCGCATCCTTTACGATTCTGTCACGTTCGTTCGGAGCGTGATTATCCTTCGGCGTGTTTATGTTCAGCAAGCTGAACTTTTGCAGTAGTTTCTCCAAGGAATGGTCAATTGATTGCACCTGCACAAAGAATTAAGGTCAATTACCACACAAAGGTCTATTCTTTTTTAAAATCTAAATAAGTAATCATTGTCATTAGGGTTTTTTCTGAATTTTGCGTAGAATGAAATCATTTTCAGATCGTAAACAATGCTAATTTATATACAGTGCTATTTATTAAGAAGTAGACATAGGGTTTTTAAAATGACAAAATTTCTTCTGCAGGGCGCCTAATTTTATGCAACCAAAATAACTTCTTAAAACAAATGATCTGCCTGTCATATTAATTAATTTGAATATTATGGTATAGTGGCGGTAAGTCAAAGCAATATTTAATCTAATTAATATGATAGCCAGATGTTTATTTGTTTTAAAAAGTTATTTTGGATGCATAAAATTAGGCGCGCCCTTCAGAAGTGATTTTATTTTGAAAGTAGTGGAATGGAACCGAATTTGCCCGCTAAAATTCGATTTAAATATTCCCGAAACCGACCCTGGCGCGACGAAAAATCGTTTTTCTTCTCTGCTCTACATTGAAATGAGCCATAATTTACAATAAAAGTGTCAAATACAACGCTATGCGAGGGAACTTAATGATCCCTATCGACCCGACGTCTCGGAGCCCGGTCATATGTGGGCAGAGGTATTTGTGCCATTGTTGAGGGCAGAAGTAATTTTTACATTGTGAGTAGTGAGTGCAGCTTCAACAATTACAAAGGTGATGTACTCGTTTTTTATCTCTACGTCTATTGCATTCATCTAATAATGATATGATCGTGTTCGATTATTTGCCAATTTAATGTTATTCTCGTACAGCAGGATTATTGCCATTTATGACACATCCTAGATACAACTTGCACATAAATATGTTGTTTTCCAATTTACAGTACTCCTTTGTTCTAAGCACTGGCTACATGAATTACTGACCGATTTACGTGTTTTTATTTATATTTAGATACTGTATGTTCCCTTAGGGGCGATATTCAATGCAAGTATGCAGAACTACATTTTAATTTATAATTGAATTTATTGTAGCACATTTCGCTTTTGTTGGGATGAATGTTACTGTTTATTTACAGGGTGCTTCATCTGGGGGTGAGTGACGTACGTTAGGTGGTTGATGGTTACATATTGCACTTGGCATTGAGAATTAACTACTTTACACTAATGTTTGCCACGAAATGTTCCTTTATTTTGTTGTAATGTGATAGTACATAACGTTATGCTCCTACTATTTATTTGAACCGGGTGACTATGATTATTAATTTTTGGCAGGGTGACTTGTTTCGAATAGGTATACAGGGTGATTCCTATAGTACCTGCCACCGTTTGGGAGCGTGTAGGTGGTGGGCAGGGGAGTATTTTGATATAGGACACTTGGGGTCGGAAATCTAAAATAAGGGTGCCAGAGCCAAATTTACCTTCTGGAATTTCGCGCCTGTAGGTAGGCAACCCAACCGGCCGGCGGTGCACACGGAGCGATCTCAGGCGGCGATGTGTGGCTGACACTTGATCAGAATTTTGTTTAAACCCACGAAATCCCGTCTGCAACGACGCGTATCAAGTGAATAAACACTATGGCAATAGTATAATATATAGTTGGCTAGATGTAGGAAGTGCATTGAGAACAACGGTGGCCACGTTGAACACTTGTAAACGTTATTGCTTTTGACTGTCGTTTTCCCTCCTTCCCTCCCATGTCGCTTCCTCGCGCTTCCTCGCTCTGCATCGCTCCGCGCGAAACGTCGGTCGGTTGGGTTGCCTACATACAGGCGTGAAATTCCAGAAGATAAATTTGGTTCTGGCGCCCTTATTTTAGATTTCCGACCCCAAGTGTCCTATATCAAAATACTCCCCTAGGCACCCCCTATACGCTCCCAAACGGTGGCAGGTACTATAGGAATCACCCTGTATACTGTGCTATATTTGATATTGATATTTGATCCCGATATTTATGTTTTATGTACTGTTTTTGTGTGTCTTCGAACAGAGCCATCTTGTCGATATTGCTAATCAATTTGTTTAGTCGATCCCTGACATGTAGTGACCGAATATTGGTTTTGTGTCAGTCTTTGTTACGTCAGTAAAAATATGTCAACTGTCAACGCCTACATAAATTCTGTATATTTTGTTTATAATTAAATATTATAAATCTCCGTTTTTAAAGCATCTACTTGTTTCTTTGTTCTCGGGACTGGCCTGGGTACATCACAGTAGACATAGGGAAAAATAATACACATAAATCCCTATGTCTACTTCTAAAGAAATTTCACTGTATAAGAAGTTCCAAAATTATTGTTAATGAATCATAATAATAAAATGAACTCCCTGTACATACACAAGGCACTTACCTCGGCTCCTTGCACGATTGCTATACGAAGGCATTCGACGGCGGACGTTAGATTATTGCGATTTTGTTCAATGGCAGCCCTGCATTCCCAATATTGCGGCTCATTGTCCAAATAGCAATATTTGTCCCTTATTACATTCAGCCACGCCTCGCTCTGCTCCACACTGTAACCCTAATAAAAAACAGAAACACACACATGAGATATCTCACTCCCACTTGAGGTGTTAACCATTATTTTTCAAATGGTTCAACCAATGGTTTTGTTCTTAAATTTTTAGTTAATATAATATATATATGTCCAGAAATGGGAACAATACTTTTTTTGATAAAAAAATTTGAACTTCAATTTTTGAACACCCCCTACAATTTTTTTCGTGCACATAATTTTCACGAAAAATACTGCTAAAACCCCATTTTGATTTAACTCACTTCCAAAATTAGCTTATGCAGATCCTCCAAGCAATTCTGCACAACGGTCTTCAAATCCTCGGACTTCGTGTACACAGCAATGGGCGTATCAATTCGCAAATCGTCGTAGCTCGTACGTACGGGATCAGTCTCGACATTTTCCTTATCGTCATCTCCGCCCTCGAGATGTTTCTTGTGAAGACCGAAACACTTCAAATGATGAAAATTATTGGAACTAATTTTTCGTTTACGCATCCACTCCTTTAATCTCTCTTGCAGATCGCTCACCGAATGGTGGCCGGCGTTATGGGCGTAGGGAGTGGAGTGTCTTTTGAGGAACGGCGTGTTACTTGTAAAGTTTTGGCTCTGTCGTACCGGTGTTCGAAACTTTACTTTGCGTTCGTGAGCAATTGGGGATAGGTTTTTTAGATCGTCATTCTTGTGAACGCTCGTCAAGGAACTTGTGCTGGCCATTTGCTTACAGCTGACCGCCGAGTGTTGGTCGTAACTGTCGGCCGAACGAGATCTTCGCTTAAGCCTGTCGGCAAACCTCACCTTCTGGCCGACACCTTTTGTAGGTCGTAGAACATCTCCGTTGGGTTTTTTGAGTTGTGTGTTTATTGTAAAAGGTTTCACTGGTTGCTTAAGACTAGATTTTGTTTTTTCAGCGTTCGCTTTAGATGGAAGGTTATTATTTACAGTAGTAGGTTTGATTCCTTTGGAAGGTTTTGAAACAGGCTTCGGAAATTTAGCTGTACTTAAATCTGTGTTTTTCATCGAAATTTTGTTGACTGTCGCATCTTCTACAAATAATAAAGGATTTGCTTTTGCGAATCTGTACATGCTAGTTAAAGTTTGTCGAATAACTGGTGGTTTACGTTTCGCAGATTTCCTTATTGTATCGGTCCGTTCCATATTTGTATCTGTAGCAACAAACAATTTAAATGCAAACAAATCTCACAAATGTACACAAATACCCTTTTTTAAATTTTCATTCAAATTCACCATCCTCTCTTCCTTTCCGTTGCAGTTTTTCATTTTGAAATCTGAAATGTCAATAAAATTCAAATGGTAACGTATATCCAGTGGCGCGCACAAAAAATCTTTATGACTATACATAGGCGTTACGTCAGTTTCGTCATTAGTGATTATAATAAATGGTTTCGAGAAATCGGTCTATAATTACAAATTATACAATATCACTGTTTATTTTAAACTTATTTTAACATAAAATATATTCTTTGCGGTGATTTGAATCAACGAATTTGTTTTCTTAATTATGTCTTAAATTTAAATCGTAAGAAAAGATTGCGTTTCACTTTGGGACGATGAAGTGTCTTTTGAAAAAAATTGTGGCACAAAATAACGTTAAATTGGAAAGAAATCCAAAACAATATAGCTACCGCAACTGGGAAAAATTTTCCAATAAAAACATTGAAACAACATTTAAAAAGTATGTTGCAAAAATTTGTAAATAAGTATGACATATTTAATTATAAGTAAGGTTATATTAAATGACATACCACCGCTTGTCGTTATTCGTGTTTCTATTTCTCAGTGCGCTAACTTAAAAATAAAATCTTGTTATACTTATTAAAGCTTAGTTTATTTATTAAAGGATCACTAACAAAGTAGACGATATCATCAGAGGCACTTGCGTTAACTCTCTTTTATTAAGGTTACTTTAATTAAAATATTTAAATGCGCATGCGTAGCAATCATAATAAAGCATGCGTTAATAAGAGAAAACCTTAGACTATGGAAGGAGGGGACCCGTAATATACCCAATCAAATGCAATGCTGAGGATTGAAGCATAGCTTGGTAACAAACCAAGCTTTTTGAATTCTTATTTATGTCGTGCAGATGTTTGCATTTTCGGTCGTGCGTGATTGTAAGCATATAAGTTGTCTTTGTTGTTATTTTATGCAAATGGTACGGAACGGTTGCTGCTTTAAACCTACGAAAAATGACTGTTAGGCAGTCATGTTATGGGTGGCAAACAGAGCTAACACTTTACGATCATCTTTTATCCCTCCTCTATCTTTCTTTCTCTAAAGCCCGTTTGTAACGATCCCTTATTTTGTCAATTTTTAAATAATTTTTTTAGGAACAAAAAAATTAAACATTTGATACATCAACTTTGATCAATTTTTTGGTAACTTTTGACAGATTATAGGGAATTTGTAAAATAAAAATTAAATTTATATTCATTTTTAAAGCTCACTATAATACGTTGACAGTAGATAGAGACCTTAGTTTATAGAAGATAAATATTTAGTCTCCAGATTTAATATAAAATACGTTATGTACAAATGTTTACATTTTACAGGTACTAAAAAATTGACAATATTATAGAATGTTACATACAGTTTCATCATTTATGATATTTTTAGGATAGCATTATCTTTATTGAAGAAAAAAAGGACTAAAAATTTGACTAAAAGTGATCGTTACAAACGGGCTTAAGGGGAAAACGCGCGAAGCGTGTTCAATTAACTATACTCACTATGGTTTGGCAACACTGCATATGGGTTAAGTAGACATGAGAATTGCTATCTTCACTTGTCATTTAAAGAGGGTGTAATAAGTAATAATAGATTTATGTGAATTTTGTACAGTTGGTGTGTATAATCCTTAGTATTAGAGGTAATACCTTTTTTATACATTTGCTTTTACGTTAAAATTTATAAACATAAGAGCAAGGCTCCATAATAAAATGTATATTTCATTGAAGTTAACAGAGATAACTTCCACTGAGCATTAGAAGTTGTTGATCACTTTATTACCATTGAAAGAATAATACAGTTTGTATTAGTCCAATATCTGAGGACTACCAGTGGCCACTTCCTTTTTTTAAATAGTATTTTAACACCTTTAGCATCTAGCATTTGGAGTTGGCCATCAGCCCAAGCTACAAGCGAATGTGCATATTAACCGGTCAATGTGCACATTTTTCTACGATGTTGGCCAACTTTTCCTTCCTCAATTATGGGATGTATGTACATTCCCTAGGGATTAAGGAATGTGTGTACACACCGTAAACCCCATTACAATATAATTATTATTATATCTAATATACTGGTGGCATGGTGTAACTCTTGTTCAACAAATGGTGTTACTCAGAACATAAGTAATGCCTGGTTGCATTGTATTGTTTAATATCGAAGTAGGTAGATTTTTGATACATCAGAACAGATTTTTAACATGGTTTTTGTTAGGTATGGAGGGAGATAATGACACACTACTTATTAAACTTGAACCAAAACAAGAAGAGGAAATCCACTCCTTTCTTCAGGAACGCATTTCAGTAAGCAACGAAGTTTTGGTGACAATAAAGGATGAAGTTAGCATTAGTGCACCCTGTTCTGAATCGCTTGCTGATGAAGAAGTACAGCAACACTCTGACTTTCAACATCACCTTGTAACCCCATGTAGGACGGTGTCTAATGATTTTAAATGTGCTGATTGTGATTATAGGACAAATGATAAAGGCCACTTCAAACGACATCTTTTAATACATAAAGTTACGAAGGATCTTAAATGTGCTATTTGTGACTATGGGACAAATCATAAGAGCAACTTTAAACAACATCTTTTAACTCATAAAGTTTGTAAGGATTTTAAATGTGCTGATTGTGATTATGGGACAAATGATAAAGGCCACTTCAAACGACATCTTTTAATACATAATGTGACGAAGGATCTTAAATGTGCTGATTGTGATTATGGGACAAATGATAAAGGCAACTTAAGACAACATCTTTTGAAACATAGAGTTTCTAATGATTTTAAATGTGCTTCTTGTAATTATGGCACAAATAGGAAACACCTTTTCAATAAACATCTTTTAATACATAAAGGTTCCAAAGATTTTAATTGTGCTGATTGTGATTATGGGACAAATTATAAAAGCTACTTAAAACGGCATCTTTTAAAACATCAAGTTTCGAAGGATTTTAAATGTGCTACGTGTGTCTATGGGACAAATAAGAAACATCTCTTAAAACGACATCTTTTAATACATAAAGTTACGAAGGATCTTAAATGTACTGTCTGTGATTATGGGACAAATGATAAAGGCAACTTAAGACAACACCTTTTAAAACATAAAGTTGTGAAGGATTTTAAGTGTGTTGATTGTGATTATGGAACAAACGATAAACACCACTTCAAACGACATCTTTTAAAACATAAACTTTCTAATGATTTTAAATGTGCTACTTGTGAATATGGGACTAATAATAAACATCTCTTAAAACGACATCTTTTAAAACATAATAATTAATGTGTCAAGGACTGGGTGGCATTGGGAGTGCACTGTGTAGTGTTGATAATGATATTTTTGTTATTATCAGTGGAAGAACAATACCTTAGTGTGATTTATTAAGTATAACAAAAAATGTACATAATTACATTTATGAAAAATACATCTTATCAACTTAAAAGTTAGCAGCTTAGTTATACATAATTGTATGCTCACATCAATAGTGAGGGTGCATTCATCCTAACGCTCCCTTTCACACTATATTTGAATACACAAATAAATGCAGAGGTAATAAAATGCAATAGAATTACATACGACTATAAAACTTAATCTTAACATGTGGGAATTTAACCTAAACTGACACATGATTTGTATATAATTCACATGCAAGATCTGCTACATGTTCCCTTGCACTGATGTTCTTTTACGAAATTATATTTAACTTGAATACTTTTTAGTCCTTTATGTTCCCATTTCTTAGTCATTTTAATGCAAGATTCATCCAGAATTATTGTTGCCATATTATACCAAAGTCAGTTAACAGATTCCACAGTCACATTCCTGCTCTGGCTGTTTCAGATAAAAGATAAGAAGGATATGATAATGCATTGTTAACGGAGCGTTTCCAGCTTCCATCCTTGGAAGATTGGATAACCATCATGGGAGTACAGTTGTTGCATTGAGGTCGAGTGCATGAGATTGCATTCTTTAGTTGATTTTATGGTTTGGAGTACCACACTCATTAAAGAGCTACAGAGGGCACCTATCCTGCAGATGTGGCACATTTTCAATAACATCTCTAGTCTATATGTGACATACAGTACGACACCTGCAATATCCATGGTGCTTCAAAGCACATATGTTTCACCCCCTCTTTTTTTAAATATGAGATGTCTATATCCCTTTAAATACCCTGTATTTTTCAACGTCGGATGCAACCGGTCAAGTAGTTGGAGATTCTGGGGACATGAGCCACCGCCATCACCACCTGTCGATATTTTTTTTGTAATTTTCGGAGGATGTGTTGGATTTGGGGGCTTGGCGTCACTTGTTGATTGTTAAAGCTTGTTGGTGGTGGGATTATTGTATTTTGAGTTGTATTCATAGAGTTTAGCTTTGTGTTTGTGTGTTAGATTCAACCACTGTGGTGTCGGGTAAAGTATTTTATGTACTTATATGAATTGTGCCATTTGTTAAATCAGATATTTTCCATCTACCATTGTGCTAATATGCAATTTACAACATGCGAGGTGTTAACTAATATCCATGTGCTTGTGGAAGTCTACGATATCTCAGGTTTAGACCACGTTTAACTCACTTACACGGTGCACGGATGTGTACCTATGTAGAACCTCGGCTTCCGTGAAATAGGGCATGCAATGCTAGGTGTATTTAGGTTAGGGTGACTCGTAACATTCGTAACTCATATCTTCCTACCGTGAGAGGGAGCTCGGACGCTAGAATAGAAAGGTATTAGAGCTAAGGCACAAAAGGATCCGAGGGCCCTCGAACCTCCAACTTTAGGGACGAAGTGCTGCTAACTCAAGGCCGTCCTACCCATGGGCGGCGACCCATCTCTTAACCATCTTCAGTTTTGTGTCGTTACGTGACCGATGTCAGGGGAGTGTTACGAAGCACAGGTAGTAGTTCCGGAAGTCTGGGGTTTATGCCAATGTCATTATGTGGAAACTGAGCATAATTGAGGGCTCCACGAGCACACTGTGTATTGTCATAACTGCCTATGGTTACGTCACAACATGAATAATAGATCAGACGTGTTTTTACGAACTTCACACCACTCTTTTCGGTATATCATGATATGAATAACTAGTAAGGTGACTTATATCAATAAATGCATGAATGTGTTGCCCCTAACAATCTTAACTGCGCTACGGGTTAATAGGTAAATATGCCAGCCCGATCCCTACCAATATAACCGTGAAACAGGAGGGCAATCAAGCGAAGACGCTGGCCCAAACCTAACGAATAACCAGGTTCACCACCCAATGACTAACTAAAAAGTGAGTTGCCTTCTAGCCGCGATTAAAGGAAAGTACATGACATGTTGTGACGAATACTCTACGCATACTGTTCAAACGTACCCTGCTACTTGAATTAATTCATTAATTAAGGTAGTGTCACATGTTCTGCTTAGGTGGTTGGTGTTTTAATTTACTTGTGATTAGCATAGTTTGGGTTTTATTCAAGGCCAAGGTTTTTTCTCAAGTCGCGCTCTTTTTCTCCTTGGTAGTCTGCTTTTGCGAGAGTGCGGCACCTTTAGGTTTTGCTTGCTTTGCTTTTAATGTACCGCATCCAAATTCCCGGGTTCTCAGAATAAGTTTATAATAAATAAACTCGCAGACATTGCAGCGTTTTATTTGAGTGTTCCTGCCCGACTGGGTCCCGAGTCATTGTATTAGCTTCGTGTAACGTAAGGGGGCCCTACCCTAGACGATCCAATCACGTGCCATTCTTTTGTTCGAAATTTGAGCGGGAACCGTGTTTTGATACTGGGATTGCAACGTTGCCACTTTGCCGTGAAATCTGTCATCTTCACTTCGAGCCTGGGGTGGGTTAAGATCAGTACAGTACTCTTTTTACCCTTAGCAGTTACTTTTGCGAGAGTACGACACCTTTTGGCTTTGCTTGCTTTGTTTGTTAATGTACATCAACTAAATTTCCGGGTTTTCACAATCATAATAATTACGATCATTATTAAATAAACTTCACAATTTCAGTGTTTTATTTAACGTTCCTTCCCTACCGTGCTTCAGGTCAAAGCGTTGTCTACAACTAACGTAAGGGGGCCCTACCTTAGATGTTTTATCACGTGCCACTTGTCCAATTTAAGCGGGATCTTGTTTAGTTTTGGAGGGAATGGTGGCCATTTTTAAACGTTGCCGGGTTGACTTTATTTCCTTGTTCTTGTAGTGTGAAGTTAGCGTAGGGGGTTAAGTACACTACAAAATTAACATCAATTAATTAATCGCTTAGAAATGCCAAAAAAAGCCAACTGATTCTTATTAGTGGGCATATAGAAAATAATGACGAGTATTTAAAGCTTCCCATACTACGCGGTCCGATTGGTGTTTACATGACTTAAGTTTATCCCGAGATTCGCATACCAACAACTGCAGTACCCCCTAACCGTGACCAGCCATTTTGTGTTAAAAGCAAAGCGGTACATGTACTGTGTGGTCTAAGCTTGACTTATGATCAAACAGAAGAGACGAAGTCAGTTTTGTTTCATTACGCCACTCCCAATAGTGACGCGTTTCCCCACACTTATAATCCTACTTTAATCCATTTCCGTTCAAGCTTCTCTCTTCTTAATTTCAGACGTAGTTGGAGTGACTCGAAAGTAATGTTTAAAACTACATGATTTGGCAACGCTGCCTTTGAGTTGATTTTATGTTGGTTGATGGCTAAGTTCACGTTCCAATTAAAGAACATCAACCTATTTGTGAATTTGTGATTGTGATAGATTTTTAATATCCTAGGTAAGTATCTACCCTTTTTAACATTAGCATTTACAGTAACGTTTTTAAAGATTCTCCCACTGATCTTTAGATTTTTTTTATTACTGAATTACCATTGGCAAATTGACAAGGTATGTATTAGTCCCAGATCCAAAGACACTAGGTTACTTTCATATTATTAATAATATTTTTTCTTAAACTACTTTAGTCCCTAAAAAGGGTGAAGAAAATGTGATTTTCATAGTGAGAAAAGTAAAATACAATTGCTGCGTTAATCTTAATAATGACATTTAAAATTGAAACACCCATATCTAGATTGCTATGTGTCAGCCTTCATTGAGTACGTTTACACGGACACCTAACGCCGGTTTTATAACTACGGATTTTACTAATCCGGTTTTATGATACGTGTTTACACAGAACAGGAGTTATAACGTACGTTCTGTGGTTGGGTGTAATAACATTCAACTGAAGTCCGAACAGTAACGTCCATAGCTACCAACATAAATAAGAACAGCCAACTTCACGTCTATTATTTAATTAGGAGAAGTGAGGTTAATTAATTTGTTTTCTGTTGTAACTTCGTTTTTGATCTTGTGCCGCGAAATGAATGAAGTAATAATTGCCAGTGTTTTTCCCACTCTATGGCAGTTGTATACTTCCATTAACGAACAGTTATGCAACTTTTTCATTAACAACATTGTAAAATGTCGAAAACGCTTTACCCAAATGTTGTTACTGTATCTAATTGGAACAACACCAAGCGAAACATTAAACTTAGGACCGGTTTTGCAATGTAATCGCAAAACCATGTGGATGAAGAAGAGAAGTAGTGAGTGGTGGGAGAGAATCGTTTTAAAACACTTCAGTGACTGTGATTGGAACGAAAATTTTCGACTGTCCAAAAGCAGTTTTTTATGGTTGTGCGACCAGTTAAGAAATCGTTTGCTGCCCTGTGAAAACTATGTGAAAACTAGAGAGCCCGTGTCAGTAGAAAAGCAGGTTGCAATAACATTGTATTTTTTGGGAAGCTGTGCGGAGTATCGGGTTGTGGCAAATGCTTTTGGAGTCCACAAATCAACTGTGTGGAAATGTGTACATAGAGTTGTAAACACTATTAATAGTGTGTTGATGGATTCTTGTGTAAATATGCCTAACAGTGTTGAATGTGATGACATATCTTTTCAATATGAGAAGACAACACATATTCCAAATTTAATTGGAGCGATAGATGGGACTCACATCCCTATTTTGCCACCCGCCGATGGTTATCGAGATTTTGTTAATAGAAAGGGGTGGCCGTCGATGATCCTGCAAGCAGTGGTTGATCATTCATACAGGTTCTTATACTGCCACTAGTAATAATTGATTGTTAACTATGTGTGTTCATTATAGATTTCGGAATATCAATTGCAAATCGCCTGGTTCGTCGCATGACGCAGCAGTTTTTCAACAGTCTGTTTTATTTAAACAGCAAGAACAACTTATTCCAAAGGTACCTATTTATGTTGTGCATGAGTTATTATTACCAATTTGTTTCAGAAATGTATTGATATAAATGGAGTAAATGTTCCTTTCATGATCATGGGGGACCCAGCCTACCCACTGCTACCTTGGCTCTTAAAGGGGTACACAAAATCTGCACGACTCCCCCCCGAAGAAGAGTCATTTAATGTTTATTTAAATGCGGGAAGAGTGTCCGTGGAGATTGCGTTTGGGAGATTAAAAGCACGCTGGAGGTGTCTTTTAAAACGCCTTGATATTCACTACTCATTTGTACCCCAGATTGTATCTGCATGCTGCATTTTACATAATATAGTTGAAAGCAGAAAAGAGGCTTATGTGGTGCAGTGGGAAAAAGCAGTTATGGAAGCAGAAGTGATATTTCCACAACCACGGATAAATACAAGCAGAGAACGTGAGCATTTTAGCGGTCACACCATTAGAGACACTATTAAAAATTATCTCGCGTCCAATTTTCCGTTAAGAAAGACTTGGTATAAGTAGACAATGTATTGTAAATTGTTACAAAGTATTTTATAAAAATTTACTGTAGAAAAAATAAAGTCCTTATTCCACATTAATACATTGTACACACAAACATCCCTTGACATGTTCCCTCGGCCGGCTAGGTTCAGAACGAGAAGTAGATGGTCTATTCAATTCATGAACATGGAAAACATTATTTAAACAACTAATTATGGCATTCGTTGTTTGCTGCATGATCTCTTTATGTTGTTCCATAAAGTTATTCATCATTTCCTTTTCATATTCCCTTTGCTGTAGAAATAGTTGTGAAACACTCTCGATTTGCCGTTCCTGCACTTCAAGAGAATTTTGCTTTGAAATTCTAGCATAATTTTCTATGTTTTGTTGGTACGATCGTCGTCCTCCTTTCTCAGAGTAACGTCTTCTTTTTGGCACTGGTTCATCAGACTCCTGGGTCGCATTGTACTCCTCAGCAGCGTGATCGGGGGTATTCTCTTGTAAATCATCTTGTTCTTGAGTTAATGTTGTGTCGACATCTGTATTTTCATAATCGTCCTCTGCGTATTGGTCCGATTCTGAATTTGATTCCTTGGACGAACATTGTGCAGAATCGACACCTTGCAGTTGTGAAACTGGCCTATCGCCTAGGAGAACGTTCATTTCTTCATAGAAGGGAAAGTCCGATCGACAGTTTTGTGCACCACTTGTACTCAATTGCCGTTTACACTTATTGTATTGAACTAAAAGATATAAAATTAAATCTCTTATTGAATTAAAGTTAGGTAGACTTACATCGTAATGTTTTAAAACGGGTTTGCATTTGTTTGGCATTCTTCAAATATCCTCTCTCATGCATCGGTTCTTCTAGATGTTGAAAGATGTCGACTGCTCGAAATCTCTTTCCATCCAACGATTTCAACACTTGCTTTTCGCGGATTAGTCTCAAAAGGAACCGTGTTTCCTCTACTTCCCACGTATCACGTTTTGCAGCACTACACATTTTAATTAAAAAATAAAAATCTACGTATTCTAAAATATCTATAAACTACAAACTACACCACTATAAACAACAAAATTTAATTAGAAAACTACTTTATGAAAGAGGTAAAACGCTCTGGACACCCATCAGAGAAGAAATGAGTAACGCAGCAAATAACACACAAAAAGGGAAAGTAACTTGATCCAAACCTATTCAAACAATAGATAATTAGCGGGATTTCTTACTTGTTTATCAGTTTGTGCAAATGCAGGAATTTGCATCTTTTAGGTTAAGGCAGCTGCCGCCATTTATTTTAACTTCTAGGGAAATTTAATTGGCTTGGTTGTACTTACATCCGCTTATGCTGTTTACACGCGTTCCTAAAACCGATGTTATAACGTCACGCCCGATTATAAAGAGGTGTAGCGTTAAGAAACCGGATTTATAACATCGGTTGTACCACATTGTTTACACGCGATTTAACGTCGGTTTTAGAAACATCCGTAGTTATAAAACCGGTGTTAGGTGTCCGTGTAAACGTACTCATTATTAGGTACGATAATTACAATAGTTATTTGTACAACTAGAAAAGAAAGTGGAGGTTTTCAACTCAAGTTCAAAGTTTGACAGATGAGCGAGAGTTGAAAAACACTCGTTGCAAATTTGACACATAATTTTTTCTGAAACTACAATCAAAATTGAAAAATTATTCATCATACGCAATAATATTGTTTGACACACAGCAATCTAGATATGGGCACCTTTCAATTTTAAATGTCATTATTCAGATTATCACAGCAATTGTTTTTACTTTCCTCACTAGAGAGGAAACTCACATTTGCTTCACCCTTTTAGAGACGAAAATAGTTGTTTCTATAGTAGTTTCAGAAAAATAACTATTAATACCTTTAGCATTTGGCATCTATAAATTGGCCATCGGCCTATACTAGCATCAAGTGTGCAATAGGGTAAATAATTACTATTGTACTGTAACTCTTATAATTCAACAAATTCTGTTACTCAGAAAGTAAGTAATGTCTAATTGCTCAGGGATCTCGCTCTGTATTGTTTAACCAAAACAGGTTTTCAACACATTTATTTATAGCATTATTGTTAGGTATGGATGAAGATAATGACACACCACTCATTAAAATCGAACCAAAACAAGAAGAAGAAATCAACTCCTTTCTTCAGACACAACACATTTCAGTAAGCAACAAAGTTTTGGTGACAATAAAGGACGAAATTACCATTCGTGCACAGTGTTCTAAGTCTTTGTATAATGAAGAAGTACAGCAACACTCTAACTTTCAACGTGACCTTTTAACCCAGTGCAAAACAGAGTATTTTAAATGTCCTAGTTGTGATTTCGAGACTTATAATAAACACACTTTCAAACAACATCTTGTGAAACATAAAGTTTCTAAGGACTTTAAATGCGCTAGTTGTGATTATGGGACAAATCGTAAACACCTCTTCAAACAACATCTTTTAACACATAAAGATTCTAAGGAGTTTAAATGTGCTGCTTGTGATTATGAGACAAATAATAAACATCATTTCAAACAACATGTTTTAATACATAAAGCTTCGAAGGAGTTTCAATGTGCTAATTGTAATTATGGGACAAATGATAAACATACCTTTAAACGACATCTTTTAAAACATAAAATATCAAAGGATTTTAAATGTGCTAATTGTAATTATTGGACAAATGATAAACGCAACTTCAATTACCATCTTTTAAAACATAAAGTTTTGAAGGATTTTAAATGTGC